ATACGGCATGGACCAGCATTCGACAGAAGCTGCATGTAACGGATACAACACTGCTACAGAAGTCGTACTATGACACGAATGCCATACCACCACCACTTGGTGATCTTTAGACATGGACAGGATGCACGTAACACCGGAATGTGCTACCCGAGACTCAACACATGCTACAGTGTGCCATCTAGAGCACCCACCGAAGGGACAGTACATCTACTCGTCCGCTACAACATCTGGATCATGATCAACGCCATTCGCGTACCACCTACAGATGCAACCTGCTCCCACCACAACAATCGACAAATCCATTTCATCACCGTTGTCCATCAGCTCTAACACCGGACACGCCACTTGGACATCCAGCAGCAGCAAAAGCAACTGGCTACTCATCACTACGGTTTTCCACACCGTAATTTCGACATCAGCCATCTTCCATCCAAGCTTCAACCTTCCGCCATCATCGTTGAAGCAAGGGCCACTTCAGTCAACTTCCGCTTCCGCCTACCAGCCACTGGGAAGATCCATACCGCCTTCCATACCAGCTTCTTCTTTGCTGGAAGGGTTATGATACTTCTAAGGCTGCGTCTCTGAATCCGACATGGGTAACGCCCGTCGTCCTCTTTGCGACTACCTTGTAAAGCAGGGTGTTACTTCTACCACCCAGCTTTGAGGGGGGGAAGTGTGAGAGTACGACCCCGTTACACTAATTTCCCCTTTTCATATTTCCTTTCTATTTCATTCCTCTTTTTATCCTCATTCATTTGGTCTTTATCTCATCTCATTTGGTTTCCTATTCCTCCTTTTCCATTATCCTTTGGTTTATCCTGTTATTATAATTATATCACCGACCAGGCTCGGGATGTACTGGCGCGCTATATCTAGCGTAATCCTGCCGTAATCCCTTAAAGCCAATAGCCTCGCGTGGCTATACGCAGGGTGATTCTATTTCTAGAAGGGTCTATTTCCTTTGGATAGGATAAACCTGGTTACTTGATGTAATCTGGAAGTATAAAAGCCCCTCGTACTTATTGATAGTGCAACATTGAGCAAACCTTTCCTCGACACATTCGATCCTGTGACAGGAGGGGCACCATTGCTCTCCTGGGAGAGGGAGGCAAGCGTGTCTTGGTACTGGACATGCTGTATGTGCCAGGGGTACAGGCTAGTCTTCTCTCCTCAGGGCAGTTGCGGGATACCGGAGTGCATCTGTTGGATACAAGGGAGCGGACACTCATGCGTGCACCTGATGGATCCCTTCTGAAGGCGCTGCGCTCCGACCATGGTGGCGAGTTCCTGGGCGCAGCATTCACTGCCTTCCTCGACCAGCGCGGCATCGAGCACGACCTCACCTGTCCCTACACGCCGGAGCAGAATGGAATGGCGGAGCGAGAGATGCTGAGCATTGTGGAAGCTGTACGGACGATGCTGCTGCACATGGGTGTGCAGCACCACTGGTGGCATCTGGCGGTGGCGCAGGCAGTCTAGGTGCGCAACCGTGTGGAGCACGCCTCTCTGCCCAACGGCGTCACCCCGTATGAACTCGCCTTCAGTCGTAAACCTGGTGTTAGTATGGTGCGCATCTGGGGCTGCATGCTGCAGTACATGGTGCCGCAGTCTCTGTGTGGGGGAAAGCTTGCGCCTAAGGCTCGCTGGGGGTTGCACTTGGGTGTGTCTACAGTCAGCAAGGGATGGCATGTTTTGGACTTGGAGTCCAATCGCCTAGTCACCACTTCGGAGGCCGTCTTTTATGAGACGATGTCTCTTGCTGGGTGGAAGGCATGGCATCAGCAGGAGCATGCTGGGCGACCACTGCCCTATGAGCCCCTCCCTTCCCTCTTCCCAGATGTGCTTTCGGAGGAGATTGAGGAGGCGGAAGTGGTTGTCCCTCCTGCCCTGCCCTTTGTGCCCATCTCTGTGCCGACCCCTTTCCCTTCCTCCGTGTCTCCTCGGGTCGCCCCTCTTGCCCCACCTGCTCCTCCTCCACCACCTCCCGCATCTCCTCCCTCTTCCTCTTCCCCTCCTGCTATCCCACCTCCTCCTAACCCCTCCCTCCCTCCTGGGTCACCCTCCCCTTCCCCTCCGCCGGCGCTGCCTGTCGGTGAGGGGGGTGTGTTGGAGCCTCCGTCTCTTGTGCTCACCGACGGACAGCTTCAGACTGCGGCGCATCAGTGGGAAATGGGAGTAAGGGGAGAGTTGACGGAGCTAGTGGGCTTGCAGCAGCAGGGTGAAGGAGATTCGCAGCAGCTGGGGGAAGGAGACCAGCAGCCGCAGAATGAAGGAGAAGGGGGAGAGTGGAGTGGCAGTCGCGTATTGGCTTCACGAACCATTACTCCGGACTTGCGTCGCTCTACCCGCATTACGAGGGGAGTTCCGCCTGTTCGTTATGCATGGGCAGTGGTGGTTGAGCCGGGAGTGGATGATGCCGACGAGGATGAGGAGTGGACTGAGCTTGATCCGGATGTGGAGACAGACCCGGAGAGACAGTGGGACATTGGGAAGATGACAGTGCCTGAGGCGTTGGGGTGCTGGAAAGGCGACCGTGTCGAAGAGGCGATGGATGAGGAGATGCGGACGTTACTCGAGCAGGAGACTTGGGAACTCGTAACACCACCACCCGGGGTTAACATCATGAAGAATCGCTGGATCCTGAACACCAAGTACTGGCCGGATGGGCGAGTGGAGCGAGAGAAGGCGAGGCTGGTGGTCAAGGGGTTCACTCAAATGGCAGGAGTGGATTATGAGGAGACCTATGCACCTGTGGGGAGTTACGTGACAGCTCGCATACTGCTGGCAGTGGCAGCTGCGTTGGATATGGAGCTGATGCAGTTGGATGTGAAGAACGCATTTCTTCACGGTGTGCTGGACAGAGATCTCTACATGGAACAACCCAAGTATTACGAGGATGGGACTCCTCATGTCTGCAAGCTGCTGAAGAGCCTGTACGGACTCAAGCAGAGCCCGATACTCTGGTATGAGGCCTTGGATGGGGTGCTGCTTGGGGCTGGATGGTGCAAGAGCCAAGTGGATGAGACACTTTACTTCAAGAGCAATGAAGGGGGTGAGATGTGCTGGCTGCTTGTGTATGTGGATAACCTGCTAGCGGCCAACTGCAGTATGGACCTGCTGGGGGAGCTGCATGAGCTGCTGCATGGTGCATTTCAGCTGAGAGAGATAAACCCCATCGAGAAATACTTGGGGTTGCAGCTGATACGCGATAGGCCCTCCCGGAAGTTGTGGCTGCACCAGTCGGCCTACGTGGAGAAAGTGCAGCGGCGCTTTTTGGCAGGGGAGCTGCCTCAGCGTATGCCACGGACCCCTCTCTCCTCCGACCCATTCAGTGAGCTAACATTTGAGGATGAGGGGTGGCAGTCCAGGCAGGAGGAGGAGTATCGGTAGAAGGTGGGATCCTTGCAGTTTGCTGCATGTACCACACGCCTGCTTTCGCATGCAGTAAGCTGGGGTCATGACAGACAGTGCGCAGTGATCAGCACTGGAAGGAGCTGGAGCGGTGCCTGACCTACTTGGTGGGGACCAAGGATGCAGCTTTGGAATTCAGTGGGGGTCCAATGTCCTTGGAGCTAATAGGGTACGCAGACGCTGACGATGCAGGAGACAAGCAAAACCGAAGCAGCACAGGAGGTTACGTCTTTGTGTTTGGCGGTGTTGCAGTTGCTTGGGCGAGTCAGAGGATTCGTTGTGTCACTCTCTCCTCTACTGAGTCAGAGTATATTGCGGCAGTTGAAGCAGGGAAGGAGGCTCGCAGACTGCGCTTCCTTCTGGCAAAGTTTCAGCTGCTCAAGTGTGAGGAGCCGACGACACTCTTTGTCGATAATTCGTCTGCGATTGCTGTGGCAGGTGGCATGCGGCTCAAGGGGAGTCTCAAGCACATGGAGCGGCGTCGCATGTGGCTGCAGCACATGGTCAAGCGCATGAAGCTGGACCTGCAGTACATCCCTACCAGCGAGCAACCTGTTGACTATCTTACTAAAGCGTTACATTTCCCAGCCTTTTCCCGTTGCTTTGATAGAGTGGGACAAGTGAGGACACATGCGATGGCCTTCACTTCAAGCCCTTTCCGTATTCACCGCTGTGGTGCTGGTCCAAGGAAGAGGATGAAGAGCATGAGGCGTGGAAGGAAGGAGAAAGGCTGGGGTGAGTACGACGAACGTGCATTGGCAGCATTCCGTGACTATGAGCGTATCTGTGCATACGCTTCTGGCTCTTCGTAGGTTTCTGCTTGTGATGGTTCCATGGCCTACCCATGGCTGGTGCGGTGTGTGTTTCAGACGAAGAAATATTGCAAGCGTACTGGTGATGCATAGGACCCTTGCATGTGAGCTCTGTGTTCCTTTTTGGCTTGTATGCTTGTATGTGTGTACCCTGTGATTATAAAGGGCCTTGCTGTAGTAGTGCAGGGGAGTGTTGGAAGCCCTACTGCAGCTGCGGGCAGCCAGGCGTTGACCGACTTATGTCGGTGCACCGATTGCCTGGCAGCTGCAGGTTGACATGACCAAGGTGCACGGACTAAGACTATGTCTAGTTTGTGTGGACTGGTCCGGAGATGCTCACGACGACCAGTGACTCTGACGAGTCATAAGTAGTCGTGGCTATCGCGATGGTTCTTTGTGAGAAGCAAGGCAGCATTTGCCTTGCTGGTTGGAGTTGCGTACACGTCAAACCCAACCTTGCTGAGTTGGGTTGGAGAATTGGGTGAGGCGCGCTCGCCCAACCCTTCGGCAAATTCGGGGTGGTTGGTTACACCCGCAGCGCCACGCAACTTTGGTTGGGTTTGCACTTGCCTATATATTTGCATGCTTATTTGTACTTTGGATATATATTTCTAGTGAACTTCTACTCTACTCGAATTTAGACCAAGTACTTTATGGCAAACTCTGCCCAAATACCACCAGCGCCTAGCACGCTATTCGAATAGCGTTACTCTGTCGGAATCGCTCCACACTTTACCAGCGCTCTCACTTTAGCATTCCTTCATGGAACCCTTGTCAGCCCACTTCTGTGCCATAGTACTAGTAGAACTGGAACTCTAGTACTTGAATTCACAGGCCTGACCCGACCTTCTTGTCCGTATAGGATAACAAAGCTCAGCAGGTCCTGACGCCGCATCCTATAGTAATCCATTTCGTTGCGCGTCGCCGCCGCCGCCTCTCGCCTGCCATCATGCCACAGCCGCCGCCGCGTCGTTCTCGCCGTCCGTCGTCGCTTGCGCTCGCCCTCCTCGCAGTACTAGCGGTCGCATTGCTTCCCGCCGGACGAGCGATGGATTGGACGCCACCATATGGCGACTCTCACGAGCCATCGCGCATCTCGCATCATTCGCACGGGTCGCAGGCGTCGCACGACATCCCGACTCAGCATCATCGCATGAGCCTTCTCGAGGCCGCTCCTTCGCGCCCACCCGCCGGGCCCATCCTCCATGGCTCGCAGCGTAAGCCCGCCTCGCCGCCTCCCGTTCCCCTCTCTCGCACACGCCCACGGACAGCGTAGCGTCTGCTGACTTCTAACGTCTGCCTTCCGTTTCCAGTCCCTTATTCGCCAGCCTTTCACCTTCCTGTAACATGACGGTTCGCCATGCATGTGCTGCTAGACATGCATGGGGATTCCCGAAAGGGATAGCTAGGAGTGCATGGGATTTTCAGATTGAGATGCCTAGAGCTATCCGAACTAGACACTTGCTAGCCTAGAGTATATCCTCTTACCTCTGCTGGAAGGAAATGTCCAGCAGAGCATAGCAACGCTATGCCAAGATGCTATGCTTGATGGACACGCGATTATTCTCCCAAGTCGCTACCCTTTCCTTCCTAGTATAAACATCTCTCTCCTTACCTTGTATGTATCATCTTTTCTATCTTCTTAATCATCTATCTTCGCTCTTCTTGGAATTAGTCTCCAGCCTAGTCGAATAAGCTTCCTCTCCTCTCTTCCGCTGCGCACCTCTGCCCTACGGCGCAGCCGCGGCCCAGCCAGCCGTCCCTAGCTTGGCGGCGCCATACCGTTTCATTTCCCCCAAGCCCACTCCTTTTTCTGTTTTCGCCCACCTTTCCCCTCCTCCCAATTTCGCTCACTTTTTCCTTGCACTGTGTGCGGGCCTTGCCTGGCCGTGTGAGTGCGAGGGAGAGCGTGCTGCGTGCTGCCAGTACGTGCGCTGCTGGACCTCAACGCCGCCTGGCACCTCTGGCCCACCAACTCCAACCGCTCACGCCGCTGCGATCAGTGGGACTACGTACAGTGCACCCAGCAGGGCTTCATCGTAGCCATGTACGTTGCTCTGGTAGCAGGCAAGAGGAGTGAGAAGGGGCAACATTGTTGCTTTGGTGTGTGAATTTGAGCCCATGTGTGTATTCGACGTGAGCCCCCATGTGTGTGCACGCATCTGTCCTTGTGCATCTATGCTCCCCCGCTCGTGGATGCATGTGCTAACAACACATGTTCATTCATGTGCGTTTCCTCGTGCACTGTCAACCCCCCTCCCAACAGTGACCTGTCGTTATATGGCGCTGTCAATGCAACCATGCCGCTCACTATCTTTTCTCGCATGCCACAACTCAGGCGCCTGTAGGTCCACGTCTCCCATTCTCTGCCCCCTTCCTTCTCTGCCCGTTGCTCTGTTCCTCTGATTATTCCTCTCACCTCATCCCCTGCATTCCCCCACTGTCTCTTCTCTTCGATCTCTTTGGCTCGCTCACCCTCTCGCTTCCCTCTCCCTCTCACCCTTCTTGTGTTGCAACCAGCCTGCTCCTTAATCCTTCTTCCACCCGTCGCCCTCTTTCAACATGATACTCTTTTCAATCAGCCTGTCCCACCCTTGTTCCTCAATCCTTTCCTTGCCATCATTCTGTTACAGGGAGCAACCAGGAGATCAACCAACTAAAACGACGTGTTTGATTACCAACTTGGCACTCCACGGGCCTTAATCCGCTCATTTCCTCCCCTCCCCAATCCCATCCCATAGTGTCCTGGCAGACAACTATCTGCTTTCCGGCTCCATCACTCATCTCTCTCTGCCGTCCTCCCTGCGGGTGCTGTGAGTCAGCGTTGCCATCCCACACCTGCCACGGTTCTCTGCACGCCTGCCTCTGTAACGTGCGACACACCTGCACACCTGCACATCTGCACTCCCTGGCTTGCCATGAACTTGCTCTTTCATGTTCAGTTTTCATGTTGAAGCCATTGACGCCTACTTCCCTGCCTCTCCAACTCCTCCATACCGTGCGCCGAACCCCCCTTCCTGGCTTTCTGACAATGGGAGTATTGCTCTCATCTACCCCAGTGGTCTCTTGTATTTTTGCTATCTTCCTTGCTAGTGATATCACTCCAATACACACCCTCTCCTTCGCCCATCCATCGTCCACTCCAGGGACCTCTCCCAAACGTCTATCTCAGGTGCTCTGCCCTCGGCTCTCGCTGCACTCCCTGCACTCTCCTACCTGTACTCACCGCTGGCTCTATCCCCCCTCTAGCACCCGTTTCAACTTCCAACTGTTCTAATCACGGAGTTATGGATGCATGGTTTGCCCTTTGAGTCGTCTTCCCCTTTGCGCTCCCGATCGATGCTCCCATTCCTGCTCCGCCCTCCCGCTTCCATCCTTCCACCCGCCCGAAACAGAGACATGTCTGCTACTTCGATTTTTGGCAGCCTACCATCCACTCTCGGCCGCCTCTCTCTCCTCACATACCTGTCAGTGCCTTGCCCCTCTCTTTATCCCTGCTGCCGTGCCCATCACGCTATGCATTTTTGTTCCTTTCGTCAGTAGCACCACTGGTGCCACCATCGCCACCAAGTATCGTCATTGTTACTGCGTGCTTAGAACAGGCATGTATACAGGTGTGCACCACACTCACACCAACAATTCGCCTAGCTACTAGCCCCAAAACACGGATCACTAGCATCGCAAAAAATGTATGCTCGCAAAACGATTGCGTAGCATTCGCGCAAATGCTTTGCAAACGTTTGGCGAACATGTGGGTGAAAATTCATGGCGGACTTAGATTAGAACACTTGGCGAATGCTTTGACAACATTTCCCGAAACACTTTTTGGTTCACGACAGCGAATGCTTAGAGGTGTCTTTTCGGTAATCTCCGTGGTTCGTTTACAAATGCATGGCGGTGTTCTTTCTACAACTTTTGCAGTAAACATGTAAATGCATAGAGAAGTTTATGCTCACCATTTTTGGTATTCAGCATGATTTGTTGCAAACGTTTGGCGGTGTTTTTCATGGATCCGTTTTTGCGGGCTGCAGTACCCTTTTGGGCATGGTTCAGTACAATTAGGGCATGCCTCGTTTGGATTTACTTATAATGCAACAAGCAAATTATTTGATATATTAAAAAAAACATCTACACCACAGTACACAACCACTATGGCCCAACCGCCCTTGCCTACCAGCACCCCTATGTGGGTCCCACACTAACACAAAGAGAAACTGAGCGGCGGCACACCAGGAGCAGCAATTCTTGAAACTGGATTGGAATTCCTGCACGTTACGTTCAGAACTTGTTATCTCGAAATTAATCCAAGGTCGAAATCACCAACAATAAGGACAATGCTTACAACAACGAAGTAGCGCGACGCTGGATATTGAGTCCTGCACATTAGGTTCAAACATTGTAATCAAATTAGTTATATTCCATACGATAGCAATTACAAGAGCCAGCTTACCTGAGGAAATAGCTCGTGGTAGGCTACAAATTTCTGCACGTCATACGAGACGTTGTTGTGAAATTAGTCCGACGATCAAATGACCAGCGAGACTTACAATTGGACTTACATGGGGAATTATCTCGATGTTGGACAGAGTTACATAGCTAGCTGCGATAAAGACAAGCATCGTGAGGACACATGCGAATCATTAGTTTGATTGATACGTCAAGTAACAAATGCCTTCATACCCCCATGGCGTGCTGTGTGTGCCCGTATCGTGCGTGCATGGCGCCCTCCACCAGCAGCCCCGCCTGGAATCGCCCCGCCCACCACTCCGACGCCGGGCGACTACCCACCGCTGTCACGCCCGCACTGCTTGGAGAGAGGAGGGGGTGGCAGGGGGCGGAAGCGGGAGGGTGGAGTGACGGTGTGCGCAAGAGTCGGGGAAGAGCGCACAAGACATGGAAGAACAGAATGGAGGCTGCACTCCTCGTGGCGGCTGCACTCCTCGTGGTGGCTGCACTCCTCGTGGCCGCCTCACCATGAGGGCCACGCGTGCACAGCACACTCACACGATCACACGTATCAACGTGCGAACGCCACACTCTCCCCCACACTTCCTTGCCCTGTCATGCAGCAGGCCCTTCCCACTGCCCCCCACACTCGCACGTGCCTGCGAATGCCCTCTCATGGGCCTCTCTACTCCAGCAACCCATCCGTGGCACCTGTATGACCCCCCCCTCTCCGCCTGGCCATGGCTGTTCACCTGTAGTCGAAGTAACGGTGCAGGGAGGCGAGGGAGGAGGAGAGATGGCGCGAGGAGAGAGACTCGTGGTGCTGCCACAGATGCACCTGATGCCATGCACCCACGCCATGCACCCATGTGATGCCATGCACCCATGTGATGCCATGCACCCATGTGATGCCATGCACCCAAGTGCCATGCGCCCATGCCATGCCATGCAGCCATGTGATTCCATGCAACCATGTGAAAGAAAGAGGTGAGTAAAGGCAAGGAGAGTGGTAGGTCGCATGGAGAGGCGTGGCATGCAAGAGCCAAAAGGGGGTGGCATGGGCACGCAACAGGCAGAACAGAGGGCACACGGATGGGCTGCCAGGGATGGCTTCACACCGCCATGCATATAGCAAGGCACATGTATGCACCTTGGGTGGCAGGTCGTGCGCATACGCCATGGCGCTCACGTCGTCTGGCAGCGCACCACCCATGGCGCCAGCATGCCCCCCTTCACTGCTCCTCGGGCCTGCTGCTGCTGCGCCCAACCTGCAGCGCACACACGATGGACGGATGGATGGGGCATGCGCGTGAGAAGGGGAGTGCACGAGAGCGGATGCTCTCCATTCCGCTCTGCCCCCTCCACCTTCCCACACACACTACTAGCCATGCCTCTCTGCACGAGTCGCGCCGCACCGCTGCTGCGCCAAGCACACACGTGGCAAGCACACACATGGCAAGCAAGCACAGCTCCAGGGGCGAGGGGGAGAAAGAGCAGCTGGGACGAGCGAAAAGGGAGAGAGGGCACGAAAGGGGGATCGAGACGGGCATAGACGGAACGAGTACAAGAGAGAGGAAAAGGACAGTGGCGAGAAGCGAAACAAGGGAAGAGATGTTTCACCACCGTGCTCGCATCTGCTGGCGTCCGCGCACCTGGTGGCCGCCTCCATGCGCGCATCTAGGTACTCCGCCAGGCGCCCCGCCTCCCAAAGATACCGCTTCTGCGTGCCGCCTCCTCCCCCTCGCCCCTCCTTACTCTCCCGCCCCCCCAATGGCGCATTAGCTCATGAACATGCAGATAAGAATGACATGGGTGAACAAGACTAGTCACCTAGGAGCTGCTTGAAACGATAGACCATCGTGAAACGAGATCCTCAGCATAGGGCACACTAAGAACGACCGTGGTAATCGAAGCCTGTGGGAGAGGAAGGAGCTGCTCACTAGGGGGCGCGAAGGTGAGAATGGGAGCTGAAACTGATGCAGATAGAACTGCCGAGGGCTATTATTGTAAGTAACGTCTAGCTGGAAGGCATGAGAGGGCGCAAGGGGGCAAGTAAGGAAGGGATCAGAAGTGTGTGGTGGGCTGGAGTGCTGGCATGTGGGGTGCAGCGTGGTGGGCTGGGTGGTTGGGGCGAGCAGGTGGTTGAGCTGGATTAGCCGCTCTGGAACCACTTGGCAGATTTTGATTGGTTGGACGAGGTGCAGGGGCTGAGTTGGATGAATAAATTTTGTTGGGTTCGGTTGCAGGTGAAGGGTGGGGGCAAAGGGTGTGTGATTGGTCAGCACGTCATTTTGTGAATAGGGGCGTGTTTCTACAGACCCGAATATCAAGCAAATAGGACCTGAAATTTTGGATCCCAGAATCCGTGCGCTCTATAGCACGCTGTAATTTGCGATTCAATTCGGTTCAGTTTGGTATTCACAAATTTCATAAAGCCGTGTTTTGCACCGATTCCGTTGGACTACGCCCTTCTTGGTGGTTGGATGGAGGTGTTGTAGCCAACACTTGTTACTATATATGCTAAGACGTTTTCGATATATCTCAGTGTGTGTCTTGGATTTGTTTAGTAGATTAAATCGCTTTCCATGGGAACTTGACTTTCTGAATGTATCTAGACTAATATGACTTTATGCTAAAGATAAAAAGCTACTCTTGTTGCCAAAATTGGTGCCAAGTTCATGTACTCTTACAGAACGACCGACAAGCCGTTCATAACCTGAAAAGGTCGCATATATATGTGGCAGGAAGAATGTAACAAACTTGAGGGAGAGAAATTGCGACCTCAAAATTCAAGTTGGCTTTACAACCCTGGACCTAGGCATGAGCAAACGGCCCGGACGGGCCGGGCCGGCTCGGACCGGACCGGAATTTTCCCGGGCCGGGCCGACACTCTGAAGGGTTCCGGCCCGTTCGGGCCGGTCCGGGTATGGCCCGCCGGGCCGGGCCGGGCCGCCGGCCCGACGAGGTCATTCAAGACGGGCCGGCGTCGTCAGGCTGGTTGGCCCGAATTCGGCCCGTTTTGAGGGCGGGCCGGCCCGGCCCGCCCCCTGGGACAGGGTTGGCCCGGGTCTAAAAACCCGGGCCGGGCCAGGAAGTCTGAGAAACCGGCCCGGGTCGGGCCGGGCCGGCCCGGCTCGGTTTCTAGTTGATCCGACCCTAAACCGGGCCGGGTCGGGCCGGGCCGGGCCGTTGCTCATGCCTACCTGGACCAACTCAGTTACAAGGTGTCGTTCACATATGTAGGGTTACATAACTTCCATTTTCTGCAGCCGTCGTAGATGATGCTAGAGAAGAGACATGGTTAGCATTTGCCAATAACGGCTGAATGTCTGAATGCGTGGCCGCACGGAGATCACCCACAGAATGTGGTTTGTTGAGAGATGCACAGGGGAGTGAGTGGATAGGTTTGGGGTGAAGTCTGGCTTTTAACGGAGAGGTTGTCCAAGGTGAGCTTGACTGGCAATCATGTGCCACCCAGTAGGCTGCGAGAGAGCGGGGAGGAGGGGAGGGGGGGGAGGGGGGGGGGGGGGAGAGAAAGAGATGGGGGCATACGTTAGTGGGGGGGCGGGGGGTTGAGAGGGGTTAGTTATAGAGTGTTTACTGCCTGTCCTGCCGGGATCCCGCTCACACTTACTGCCCTCTCCCCCTCCCCTGCTTCATGCCACTCCCCCTCCTCTGTCCTCATGCCTCTCCCCCTCCCCTGCCCTCATGCATCTCCCTCTCCCCTGCCCTCATGCGTATCTGCCTCCCCTCTCCTCATGCCTCTTTCCCTCCCCATCTCCTCCAGCTGTCCCTGCCTCTCACGCCCTCACGCCTCTCCCACTCCTCTGCTCTCACTCCTACCCCCCTACCCTCACTGCAATCCATCTTTCCCCACTCTCCTGCACTCACGCCACTCCCCCTCCCCTACCCTAACACCCTCTCCCCCTCCCATGCCCCTCACGCCTCTTCCTCCCCCGCCCTCACGCCTCTTCCCCTCCCCATCTCCTCCAGGCTGCACTCTCCCTTTCCCCACTCCCCTACCCGTACCCCTCTTTCCCTTCCCTTCTCTCACCTCTCGCTCCCTCCATGGCTCTTGCGCCTTCCCACATCCCCCCCTATCACGCACCTCATACCTCAATGCTCTCCCATCTCTCCCCCTCCCCTACTCTTACGCCTCTCCCCCTCCCCTGCACTCACGCCTGCTCTCATGCCTCACTCTCTCCCTGCTCTCATGCCTCACTCCCTCCCTGCTCTCGTGCCTCACTCCCTCCTTGCTCCCATGCCTCACTCCCTCCCTGCTCTCACGCCTTCCCCCCTCCACTGCTCTCGTGCCCCTCTCCCTCCCCTCTCGCCTCTCCCGCTCGCTACTATCTGTTGTCTTCCCCATCCCTGCGGCCTCGCTTTCTTCCCTTCTGCTGCGCCTTGAACCTTTATCTGTTTTCATTCAATGAGAAGGCAGGGGATTGCGGCGCGCGAAAAAGCGGGTAACACGTTACAACGTGGGAAAGTGGGAAGCGACCCGCAAGGGAAAGCGGGAAGCGGTCCGCGAGGTGAAGCGGGAAGCGCTAGTCGCTACCGGGGGAAAGCGGGATGTGAAAAGGGGGGAATGGCAGAAACAGGAAGCGGGGGAAAGCGGCATGCCAGAAGCTAGGGGAAGCGGGTGGCGGGAAACAGGGGAGAGAGGCAGCGGCGGATTAGCGAGGGCAAGCGGGGTGCGGGTCGCAAGGGAATGTGGGAAGCATGGGAATGCGGGAAGCATGTGAATGCGGGGAGCACGGGGAGCATGGGAATGCGGGGAGCATGGAATGAGGGGAGCATGGGAAAGCGGGGGCATGGGACAGCGGTGAGCATGGGAATGCGGGGAACAAGGGAAAGCGGGATGCGGGGAGCAAGGAATGCGGGGAGCATGAGAATGCGGGGAGCATGGGAATGCGGGGAGCAAGGAATGCGGGGAGCATGAGAATGCGGGGAGCATGGGAATGCGGGGAGGATGGGAAAGCGTGGTGCGGGGAGCAAGGGAATGCGGGGAACTTGGGAATGGGGGATGTGGGGAGCAAAGAAATGCGGGGAGCAAGGGGATGCGGAGAGCAAGGGGATGCGGAGAGCATGGGAAAGCGGGGAGCAAGGGAATGCGGAGAGCATGGGAAAGCGGGATGCGGGGAGCAAGGGAATGCGGGGAACATGGGTATGCGGGAAGGATGGGAAAGCAGGGTGCGGGGAGCAAGGGAATGCGGGGAACACGGGAATGCGGGGAGCATGGGAATGCGGGATGCGAGGAGCAAGGAAATGCGGGGAGCATGGGAATGCGGGATGTGGGGAGCAAGGAAATGCGGGATGTGGGGAGCAAGGAAATGCGGGGAGCAAGGGAATGCAGAGAGCATGGGAAAGCGGGATGCGGGGAGCAAGCAAGGGAATGCGGGGAACATGGGAATGCGGGGAGGATGGGAAAGCGGGGTGCGGGGAGCAAGGGAATGCGGGGAACACGGGAATGCGGGGAGCATGGGAATGCGGGATGCGGGGAGCAAGGAAATGAGGGAAGCATGGGAATGCGGGATGTGGGGAGCAAGGAAATGCGGGGAGCAAGGGAATGCAGAGAGCATGGGAAAGCGGGATGCGGGGAGCAAGGGAATGCGGGGAACATGGGAATGCGGGGAGGATGGGAAAGCGGGGTGCGGGGAGCAAGGAATGCGGGGAACATGGGAATGCGGGGAGCATGGGAAAGCGGGGTGCGGGGAGCAAGGGAATGCGGGGAACATGGGAATGCGGGATGCGAGGAGCAAGGAAATGCGGGGAGCATGGGAATGCGGGATGTGGGGAGCAAGGAAATGCGGGGAGCAAGGGAATGCAGCGAGCATGGGAAAGCGGGATGCGGGGAGCAAGCAAGGGAATGCGGGGAACATGGGAATGCGGGGAGGATGGGAAAGCAGGATGCGGGGAGCAAGGGAATGCAGGGAACATGGGAATGCGGGGAGCATGGGAAAGCGGGATGCGGGGAGCAAGGGAATGCGGGGAGCATGGGAAAGCGAGATGCGGGGAGCAAGGGAATGCGGGGAACATGGGAATGCGGGGAACATGGGAATGCCGGGAAAATGGGAATGAGGGAAGCATTGGAATGCGGGGAGCAAGGTAATGCGAGGAGCATTGGAAAGCGGGATTCGGGGAGCAAGCGATAGCGGGACGCGGGTGAAAGCGGGTGGAAGGAAGCGAGGGACAGCGAGATGCTGCAGCACGTGAAGGTGAGATGCGGACGTGCTTTCGAAAGCGGGAAGCGGGGATTTGGGAAGCAAGGAAGCGCGAGGACAGGGATAGCACGATGTGGGAAGCCGCGGGTGGCATTTTCGTACGAGGAGATCGAAGGCGGCGGGAAGCTATAGCGGCCCGCAACGGTGGGCCGTTAGCAGCGGGGGATTCGTCATTTGTTTCCTGCCCTTGTTTTCAGGCGCTGGTGATTTCGTCCAGGCTAGGCTACGCGCGCCAAGAACCTCAATTGATATCCGCGTTCACTAGCCTGACGTCGGTGTCGCCTCGATCCCATCTTATAAGTCGCTACCAACTCTCTAGCATGGCTAGGCATGAGCATGGATCTAGGAGGAAACGAGGGCAAGTCGAGAAAATTACAGATCCCGAATTCGAGATCTGCTACCATCTTTCCCTTAGTCGTTTTTGCTGTCGAGGGAGCAGGCTGTGGGTTGGGTTTGCGATTGTTGTTGTTTGGCTTCGACCAATCGCATGGCCCCTTTTGATGCCCGAGGGGGTTGTTCAATTTCCTCACAGTGCATAGGGTTAGGACGTGGTATCTGGGTTTCGCAACCCATTGGAGCTGCGTAACCCAGCCTGGTTACAGGTCTCGCCGAACCTCGAATAGCGTGTGAGATATGGGTTGAGTTGGTTGGGGTTGGATTCAGTTAGTTTTTTTGGCAAATTGCACATATTTTATATATTATTATATTTCAGTTACTTTTGCACAATTTTAAAACTTTGTAGAAGTTTAAGTATACAAAAACCAATCATTTATGCAAATATAAGCCATGGGAACATGTTTATTATTCAGGTGTAACATTCACAAAACAACTCATTCGCATAACATCCCATCCGCAGAAGACTCGCGAATCATTTACGTGCAAAGAAACGAGAAAAAAACATTTGGCGAACACTTGGCGGACGATTTCCGACTTTATGCCCGAGCTCGAATGGTGAAAACGATCTGTGAACGTTGCACTTTTTGCGATGAGCGTGACCAACCAACATCCGTCTGCTTGCTTTCCAAATGTTTAACAGCCCCCCTCATTTCTCCCTTTCACCCCGCTCCTTCATTCCTCCCTTGATTACCCACTTTCTCGCCTCCTCCCTTCCTCCTGCTTACCCTCTGTCAGCAACATTGGTGCACAGAACATCACTGGGCGAGTGGAGGACCTCTCATGGCTCTCAAGCCTCACCAAGCTGCGCACTCTGTACGTTATGGAATCCATATAAGCAGGTACCGTATGCCTTGCACCCTTCATGTATGCACTGTGCGCCTTTCTCCTGTGCGCACGTTACCGAAACCGTTACTGAAGATGTGTTGCATCGCATGTACCTCAATTGGACACTTGCAACTCAATCAAAGGAACCGCGTGCGACCATGAATAACTATGTCATGCTGCCCAGGCATAAGACCTTTGACCCCCCAGACCACCCCTTCCCCCCCCCCCTCCCCCCTCTCCATAACACTCCTTATGCTCCTTTACTGTACTCCTCCATGTTTTTTTCGATATAAGGATGCACCGTACCCTCGAGCACGTGTGAATGGGCCATATGTATTGTCTTGGTAGGGTTGAAAATTTGAAATACGGCCGTTTTCCCGGCTTGTGAGCCGCAACGTGGAGAACTTGTGCGGCTAGCTGGCAAAAGTGCCTCCTTGTTGTTGCACTCCAAGCAACCATCGCCAACCATGTATTTGTGCATAATTTTCGCACCCATAACCCACCCACAACCCCCAACCCCCCCCCAGTGTATTGGATAACCTTGCATCAATGGCTGGGGATCTGCGATCTCTCAGCTTCCTTACTACCATCAAAGCCATGCAAAGTCTGTAAGCGTTCAAGTGGGGGTATTGTAGGTTGCCTTGTGTTGCACAAACTCTGCATGCCTCTCAAACTTCCTCTTCCATTTTAAGCTACATGTCCCGGGCCCACTCCCCATGCCCAATCCTGCATATCGTCGTGTGTTCCTATTTGATACTCACTTTACAGTGGTAGCTTTGCATGTGCAACGGGTTGGCCCGGCTCGCCCTAAGAACGGACCAGCCCCGGGCCAGGCTGGGCCAACTTAGGCAAATGCCTGGCCCGTGCCCGTGTTTAGGGGTCGGGCCGGGGTTGGCCTGGCTGCCCCCAAAACTGGGCTGGGGCCGAGGCGGGGCGGGGCCGGCCAGCCTAAACATGGCCCGTGTTGAGGGGACGGGTGCTCGTGCCTCCACGGGCCATTGCTCATGCCTGGTGGTAGCGCAGTTGAGTGTCATCGTTTGGCTGGAGTTTTTTTGCCTCTCACTGTGCCAAACTACTTCATGATGAAATTGAGAGAAGGTACCAAAATTTCCCTGGAGGCTCATCACTCTTTCTCATTTCTTGAGCAGCTTCTGGTCCTCCCCTGTGTCAGTGCTGCCAGTGCCTTCCCAACTCCCCAACACCTTGTGCCATTCCAATCATTGTGTGCCTTCTCCTGTGGTGCAACTTTGAAGCACCATATCCTCTGTTGATTGGACCGGGGAGCTACCAGTGGCGTTTGGCACCCTCACCTCCCTCACTTACTTGTGAGCACGCTGTCTCTTTCCTCTCTTGCCGTGGCATCCATTCGCTAGACGAGGCCCAATATGGTGTTTCCAAAAAAAGTAAAGAAATTGTTGGTGCCGCCGATTCATGATACCTTCCTGCAACATGTGGTAGGTAGGTAACTGTGTTGCCACGTCTGGATGTGCCGAATACCACTGCTTTGGTGCAATCTTTCCCAGAACCAAGTTGTCTGTTCAATCACCTACGGGGGCAAGCATATTGTTAGAGCCACATTAAAACCTTTCAAGGGCTCCGTTTCTGATATACCAGTCTAATTGATGCTCTTTCCTAAGATCCCTCCACAAATGCGTTCTCCATCGTGCAACCTTTGCCCACGGACAGCAAGCTTAGTTTTTTAATGCCAAAAGTGACTATGTGTGATGGGGTAACGTGGTAGGGACTGTCTGTGTGTATTCAAATAGCACCAAATAGCCAATTTTTACACCAAATGACTCTTCGCACTGCGCTCGAGGTTGTACCCTTTTATTGTTGCCCAAGTTAGACGCCAAGCGTGCTGTATCTAGGCATGTGTAAACGAGTCGAGTTTTGACTCGACTCATATTTTTTATGAGCCTGATGTTTTTTGTCCTCCCGACTCGGCTCGAGTCGAGTCGATTTCAGTCCGGCGAGTCACGAGTAAACTTGAATCGACTGAATCAGTTTTGCCAGCCGATTTGTGTGTATTGGGTTGTTTCGCACGTCGATCTGCACGGATGTGGCGTCGACCAAGGGGACCTAAAATCCACCCCTATGTCAAACGAGTTGAGTCAATCTTGACTTGCCGGAGTCTAGCTTGACTTGACCCCAATATGCGAGTCGCAAGTCAGGTTGTTTGGCTGCCGGAATCAGACCAAGTCGAGTCCGATTCGACTCGCTTGTAGGGCGAGTCAGAGCCGACTTGGACGAGTCGAGGTTCAACTCGCCTTTTAAACGTGCATAGCTGTATCATCACCAAAATCAGTTGTCCCAAAACTGTCCGAGAACAGACATTCCGGGCAGAAACAGGTGTCTTTTCGGAATGGCGTTTCGGACAGTTTTCTGAATGAAGGTATGATGCTTGCGGGGCAGAACCCGGACACCTTTGGGGTGGCTGTCGGAATGGAAACTGTCCGACAACTGGCCCTAAAGTATATGTACAGTGCTCCCTAGGCATCACATTAACTGTCCAATTCATCCTCGCTAGTAGCTCTCGATTGTTTTGTACAAGTCACGCTACAATGAAACATTCTATTATACAAGCCATATATTCTAATTACATAAACAGTGGGAGAAACGTAAGATAAAAGGTATAATGTACCCATTTCCGTGGAAGTAACGAAACCCACAATGCGACTAAAATAAGTCTCAACTGCACTTTTGGCCAGAGCACGCCAATGAAAGCCGTGCAAAATACATGAGGCAAACAAAGTGTCATAAAATCGTTTAAGCACAAGAGTTGAAATACAGAGGTAAAGGGCAATCCCGAACAGGAAACGACCATCATTCCTGAGAGCAATGGGACACTGGAGGGTGGGCAAAATGAACGGGGTCCGGCCGTTGCCTTGAAAGTAGAAAAAAGAAAGACAGAATAAAGAAACTCAGGTAGCTGTGAGAATAGATACTTACCTCTACATACTGTCGCATCGATCAGCCATGCGATGAGATCCCTGAAGCGTGTGCAGAATTCATGGGAGTCTACCATCGCCCTAAATTGTAAATAAACTCCACATAAGCACGGTACGCACACCTTCAAAATAAATGCAGACGCGCAGTTGTCGAATAGACATTGCCCAAAGATTAACCATGCATACAGTTGCGCTAGCGTAGCGCTAAATATGACTGCGCATTCGCCTGCCGACAGTGCAGCACGGTGAAAAAACAAAGGATTGGCGCGAAAAAGCTACCTAGCACAACACGACAGTACAAAATCACGCGGTTTTGGCGTCGGAAAAATAGAGAATCACCGTTAATATATACAAGGTCTTACATCGACAAATGCAGTCTCGTGATGGTAGAAATAGGCCGAAGCGCAATACTGGGCCTGCACGGATTTAACAAGGAAAATAAAGTAAGGGAAACGATAAGCTACCACGTAGAAAAGCCTGCGACGCCATGATGTGGCACACCTATTTCAGCACTGGCGTTTTAGAATAAGAATCCGTTAAAATGGCGGTAGGAGCGGTTATGGCGGTAATGACGGTAATGAAGAACGAGCTAAGCTAAGATCTGAAATGTCAAATTGCAATTAAGAAATGACGGTAGGAGTAGGGGGATGAAGGTGAAGACAGGAAGGCATGGGTTTGGTTAGGTTTGGTTGGGAGGGGCGAGGTTTGGGCAGATGACGTGGCGATATGTAAGAAATTTGGGTTCCGATTTGTGGTGTAGATAAGTTTGGGTTGTGGCTTGGGTACGCCAGGGTGTTTCGTAGCTTGGCGAAATGTACAGTTTCGTGAAACCGCGTTACATTATCGAGTCATGATTTTGGACTGTTAGATCGTTGCCGAGCTGATCCAAGGTGCAAAAAAAGGGCGTTTTTTACCCTTTTTTACCGTATAAAACGGGATTGTATAAAACGGCCGTTTAATACGATTAAAACGGTCAAAAGTGGTGTTTTCTGACTGGTGCAAAAAAACGGCCGTTTTATACGGTCGTTTTTTTCATACCGCCGTAAAAAACGGAAGTTCGCTTTATATCGAGGAGGGTGAGGAGGGTGAGGAGGAGGGCGAATAGAGTGAGGAAGGGGAGAACTAGGGCAGGGAGGAGGAGGACAATTAGGAGGAGGAGCAGAGCCGGAGTAGAGTCGGAGGACTAGGAGGAGGACAACTAGGAGGGTGAAGGAAGGGCGAGAAGGACAATGAAAGCAGGTCTAGGAGGACAAGATGGTGTTTTAGATGCACGTAGGCTGTCGCCACTCTTTTTCCCAGCGTTTTTTTAAAGCTAAGGGTGAAAAAAAAAAGGGAAAAAAAAGGGGGAAAACAAACTCTAACATAAAAACGGTAGAATTTGCATAAATCTGCCGTATAAAACGACCGTAAAAAACGGACCGTTTAATACGGAAACCGTTTTTTTGCACCTTGAGCTGATCTGACGGCTTTTAACCTGAAAAATTTAATCGACGGTAACGTGAATTTTGACGAGAAAATTGGAGTTTCAGCCGTCCGATCAAACTAAACCAACTTTTTGGAAGGTGGTTTGGAGCATGAGAATTTGGAGGGAATGGGGATTGTTTCCAGGCAGATTTCGGACAGTTTTCGGACTGCTTACTTTCAGGACACTTTCGGCACATTCACTTTTTGGTGACGATGTTTCAATCTTGCAGCTGCACATATTATAGTCTTTCTTGATAGATGTATCTTACATGTTCTTGTCTTTGTTAGTAGATCGATCTTACATATTATAGTATTTGTTGATAGATCGATCTTACATATTCTATTCGTTGTTGATAGGTTGGTCTTACATAGTCTAGGCTTGAGCAAACTACCCGCCTGGGTCGGGTACCCGGTACCAGACCCGGGCGGGCATTCAATACCCGCTACCCGAAATGCTACCCGACGTGTCGGGTAACGGGTACCCGACCCGGTCGGGTAAATAATACCCAAGGTCGGGAATTCCACCTAGACATGGGCATAGGTCGCGCTGTGTTTTAGGTTTTGCGGCAAAATGGTTTCGGAGGTGAGGGGGGACGAGTGGAGCATTTGTGAGGAGAAGTTGGAGTTTGTAGATGGGGAGGAGTTAAGTGCGGTGAAAGGGAGCGATTTGGGTTGGAGTTGGAGAAGAGGTTGGAGTTTGTAGATGGGCAGGAGTTCAGTGCGGTGAAAGGGAGGGAGTTGGGTGGTCAAAATACGACCCCCAGAAAACGAGACTCTCATTTGAGAGTCGTGTTTTCAGAAACCCTACCTAGCCTAGCCCACCTTTAGGATGTCCACTAGTAGGTGGCGGGTAGTATTACCCGCTTTTCAGGGTAACCGGGTCGGGTATACCCGGACCCGCCAGGCGGGTATTGTATTACCCGTCCCTTAAGGCCGGGTCCGGGTAAGGGTCGTGGGCATATTACCCGAGGTCGGGTATTGCAAACCGGTTCGGGTCGGGTAATTACCCGGTTTTGCTCAAGCCTAGTCTAGTCTTTGTTGATAATCTCTTACATATTCCAGTCTTTGTGATAGGTCGTTCTTATCATTTCCGGCACCCGTTGATATATCGATCTTACATATTCCAGTCCTCGTTAATAGATCGGCCTTCCATGTTCTACTCTTCTTTGACTAGAATAAGATTGATCTTACTTGTGTGCCATCATCCACCCTCTCCATCCGTCTTCAGGGACTTGCGATACCTGTTATCTAGCCAATTCCCTCGATGGGTGATGGACTTGACATCTTTACGTTACCTGTACGTATCACACCATATAATTCTTTCGTTCAGAGAATGCTCATTATTATCCTCCTCGTCATATGTTTCGTATAATAGATAACACTAGATGAAATGAAATGGTCAACGTATCGACATTGTTGGCTAGACATGAGCATGAGCCTTGCCCGGCTTATTCTCTGTACGAGCCGAGCAGAGCAGGGCTCATCGCAAGCCGCGTAGCTAGCCCGGCTTGAGGCTCATGTAAATTGGTCGAGCTGGGGGCTGGCTCGAGCCAAGCCGGGTTGGCTCACAGCAACCGGGATGTTCCTCCTGTAGGGAGTGTTTTCACGGAGGAATTCTAACCTTTCTTCCTAGGGAAACTGAAAACTTGGAGGTGGAGTTTGGTGGGAGGCGTATTCAAGGGTGGAGTGCTAAGAATGCCCATAAAAGTACTAGGCAGCAGAACTGCCTTCGATTTTTATGGGAAAACGAACCAGCGCGACTCGAGTCGCTTTCATTGTCAACAAGCCGAGCAATGCTTGCCTTGCAATTTGCTCATGCCTAATTCCGGGGCCGCACTACATTCCAATAGTTGGTTCTCAGCACGTGAATAGGGACATGCATTTCTTGCCAGTTAACGGTTGGATGTTATCTTGTCGTGGTTGCATCTCTTGTCGTGGTTGCATCTCTTGTCGTGGTGCCTTCCCTAGACTTAGGCTCTTACACGCCCACGTTTGTTCCCAATTAATTTCTCCCCCTTTTTATCCCTACTCCCTTTCTTCAACCTTGCCCATCCCTATCAGCGATGTGGCTCATCTCGCTGACTACCGCAGTGGAGTGGTGCCGCAGGACCTCTCCCGCCTCACTCAGTTGCAGCACTTGTGAGTGGCTCCTGTGTGCAGTTCCTGCCTGCTGTGCAAGTTGCCTGAGTGATAATGGCCACGTTTTTGTGAGCTTTCACAAATCTCTTGATGGCATGCAAGCAACCGTTGTCCCAGTAGTGAAATGCTCTGGTTGTATGGTATCTCTCTGTCTGTTTCCCGCTCATTGACAGTGACGCCACGGGCAATGGGTTGGTCGGCGTGCTGCCTGAATACTGGTCCTCTCTGAACCACCTCACCTTCCTGTGAGCCCTTTTCATTCATTCGCTGCTCCACCGCACCGCAACCCTGGTGTTCCAACCCGTTCCACTTCTTCTGTTTTTATCTGTTCTTTAGTCTTAGCCTAGCTACTACTATTGTGCTGTTCACGACGAGTGGTTGCTCTGCTTGTTCTTCGTTCATCCATCCTGTGGAAGTGCATGTTCCTTTGCTACGCGTTGCCGTCTGAGCATCATGAATGGGCCAAGAGCAGGAGTCATTTCTTGGAACTGATTTGGCACCTTATTATCTACATGGAGTCTCTTGCAAAGATTGCTTGGATTTGTGTTTGTGGCACTTGGAGTGCAGGTCATTTTCAAGAAACAAGATCGAAGGCTCCATTCCATCAACATTCTCTGCCCTCACCACATTGTGCACACTGTAATTTTCTCAAACTGAATCGTAGACATCTCAAAGTGGATCATAGATATACCAAACGTTCAAATTACAAGTGCTCGTCTTGAATCTTACATGCTTCATTGTACCTGAGGAGGACGATGCACTGTGGAGAAAGACCCCCTTTTTGCATCTGAAACTTTTACTTTTAGTCAAGAAGTTCACAAAACACAATGAACATCAGTCAGTCCCACATCGTCTCTGTTGTAGCAACACTTGGCACCCTAAGCTACCTAATTCTTATATCTTGGTCTGACTTATAATCCCTCCCCACATGAGAACAGAAGTTTCCTCATACCTGTATCATTCTTCTTCTTCGTTTCTGACTTCAACTAATTGCAGAAAATCCTCAGTCCGGCACATTCAAGTTCTTTGCGTTCAAATATGGCGCATGGTTCAGGAAATTGAAGGGCAACAGAATGGACGGCACCATCCCATCCGTCTTCTCCACGGAACTCAGCAGCCTGTATATCCCCTTCACTGCAGCCTCTTGCATATCGTCTTGTTCTTTCGAAGGTCACGTGCAGCCTACAACCTCTGCACCCCCCTTTCTGCTTCAAGTATGCTGTTGGCCCGACAACCAACGTCTTTCCACCCATATTCCTCCGTTGATGCCTTGACGCCATTGCAGTGATCTCCAAGGAAATCGCTTTGTGGGCTCCATGCCACCTTTTCTTGGCTCTCTTCCTGGACTCACAGCCCTGTCAGTTTTCAATGGCACTGCCTTGATCCTCTATGTCGAAGCCTTTCTTATCGGTTTCCCCAAAGCTCTGCTAGCATGCTGGTGCCGCTTCTTTTGTACAATGTGTGTCTATGTGGTGCATCATAAGTGAGTGGTCTCACTTATGCTTGCTTCACTTTCAAAAGCATGTTTTTTTTTCTGTCTGTATCAAGAGCCGTACGCTTGCATGATTCCTTCCTCATGACTCAAGTCTTGTGCGTCTCTCATCTCGTGATGCTTGCCAGGGAACTTGCTGGCAACAACTTCAGAGGGGCGATTCCCAAGACTTTCGCAAAGCTCATCAGCGTTTCCTGGCTGTAAGGCTTGACTATCTTGGGATGGGAGCTCGAGTGGTGTTGCCGAGTGGCTTTGCAAAGTGGTATTGCCAAGCGGTATTGCCAAGTGGTATTTCCGAGTGATATTGCCTAGTGGTATTTCCGAGTGGTATTGTCAAGTGGTATTTCCGAGTGGTATTGCCAAGTGGTATTTCCGAGTGGTATTGCCAAGTGGTATTTCCGAGTGGTATTGCCAAGTGGCATTGCAGAGTGGTGGTATTGCCGAGTAGTATTGTCAAGTGGTATTGCTGAAGGTACATGGCATTGCACAGAGTCAGCCAACGTTCATGGCAAGAGAGCACTCCAGGGATCAGGTTGTGTGGTTGAGTGCAAGCAGTCCAAGTGATAGACAGTCAAGGCTAATGGGGACACCAACACCCTGGTGGTCTGGGGCTGAGACAACGTGTGAATACGGTGCTTGGACCTTGCAAGACTTCCTACAAGCGGTCCTCTGTACTCATGCGAACGTGGGCACATGGCTATCCTGCTCACTTCCCCTCCCCCGTTATTCTCCTTCCTCCTTTGTTCTCCTTCGGTCATTCTCTTCCCTATGCTTTTCCTTGCCCTTTGCATATGTTTTCCGGTCCCTGGATTTGAGTCTTTCAGGTCGCTTTCCACCAACCAGTTAACATCGGGGCTTGATGTGGTCAGCAAGATGACTTGGCTTATTTATGTGTAATGCTCTGGTGATAACTTTTGCTCATTTATGGCAAAGCGAAAAGTGGCTTTATTTCATATTCTTTCTCTAAAAAACTGTTCTAGAAGGGGCGTTATTGTGCGGTGGGCCATTGCACCCACAGCCCCCAAGTTCACATGTATCCCTTCCCTTCCCCACTGATCACACCACCCCAGTGTTCCAGTTCTTACACTTTCAAGTTGCCATGTCCTGTCTTTTTGTAATCCGTCAATTGAATCATAATATATTATTATGCCTTTTTGTCTCTCCTATCATCTCAGAGACTTTTCTTTCAACAACTTCTCTGAAAGATTTCCTGATCTGTCAACCTTACCTTCACTCTCGGGGCTGTGAGTCGCATGTTTGAATTTACAGCCCTTAACTAACGAACCGTCTCTGCAAGATCCTTAGCGAATGTGTAAGTGCCAAGTACACCTCTAAGATCCTCAACATAAACAATATTGATTGTGTTGCTGTCAATCCACTCGCTGGTTTAAAACACACAAACTTTTTGTGGCACTCCTTCATACAGATCAATCCGAGGAAACGACATGAAAGGGACTTTCCCTAGTGTCTTGTTGAAGCTCACCAACCTTGTAACCTTGTACGTCGTCGGACAAGTTGCGTGTAGGACATTTTGGAAACCCTTTTTGTAAATATGGAGGCGAAGAGGCTTTCTGCTGCGTGATCCGTGTAGTTTACCAGTGGGAGCTATGAGCGGCAGGGATTGCATATGGGTGGATCTGTTCTCACGATGGTGCATGCATCATGCTTGTGCGCTTTCTCCAAAAATGGCTGCAGTCTCGCCCATTATTAGAACAGAAACTGCCTTGCTGTGATGGGTAGCTTGCGTCGCTATGCTTAGATATATAAAGTTTGGTCTATCTCCATATGTGAAGCATTGCGTTGCGAGAGCAAGCCGTAACGACAATAATTCTATACACTTCAATTATTTTCCTCGCCAACACATTCTAGAATGCCTCCTTGGATCCTCGTCCCTTTGCTGCAGGGATTTGGGGCAGAATGGATTCTCTGGGTCCATCCCTGAAGACATATCCAAGCTCTCGAGCTTAAACATGCTGTATGTTATCACTTGCCCAAAACATTGCCCTGCGACCATGTAATGGAATGGAGATGACGCCTAGGTATCGATAGCCATATATATATGGGCCCCAAGCACATTAATTACTTGGAACGGTTGAATGGAGCTTAACTACTTGTATGTCCGCCTCTCTGCATGTCTGCCTATCTGCTCATCTGTCCGTGCATACTGTTTCTCCTCCTGTAATTCACACGGGCATGCACTGGAACATAATGGCTATTCTCGCATATCTTGCATCTCTGTTTGTGTTAGATATCTGGACAGCAATAACTTCGATGAAGAAATTCGTTCAGTGCTCTTCACCCTTCCATATATTTCATACCTGTAGGTGTGATAACCACTTTTTCTTGGGGGCCTGGACGGTGGAGGGTGGAGGGTGGTCAGGGGGAGGTGGTTGGGGTACGATTTAGGTATATGGAAGAGGAGGGTTGATAAAGAGTTGCCGTACGGAGAACGGCAGCAGGAAGTATTGGAAAGCATGGCCTTAAGTATGTCTATGTGTGGAGGACTGCTAGTTTGAGACGATTTGGATTAGGAGGGGCCAGGAAGCGGAGGACATGGCAATTCAAGTAAAATATTTGCTGAAGTGGGGTGGGACTTCACTTCACATCTAGAGGAACGATGATCTAGAAGCAATGGAAAAAAAAAAAAGAGGGGGAATTCCTGGGAATCATGGCGCTGCAGGGGTTCAAAGGAAGGAATCGGGAAATCGACATCGACTAAGCCTAGAGTGGAAAAACACGGCATTTGTTTCCTACCATATGGTACAGTACTACAGTACCAATTTTACCAGTTGTATACTACGATAAAAAAATGTCACAAGTGCATTTTTTTGGGTTGTCTATTTAGGCCTTATTTTTCACGCTGTGGTGCACTTGCAACTTTTGGATGTCTCACACCCAACCTCGGGGAAATTTGCGGTCGGGGAAATCCCGCACTGCAAATTTCCCCCAATGTAGAACCACGCATTAATGTTGCACACAATGTACATTTCGCGCCAGGCCTTCATTTGATCAAAGGTTGGCAGCACACATGAAGCTCAACGCAGACCTTGTCAAACAAGAAGTCAGCCATGGAGCCCAAACAAAAAAAGGGCGTATTTCCCCCCAAAAGGCAAAAAAAATGCCATATTATTCGGCCCGTATGATACGGCTGCCCGTATGTTTGCACCTTCACTAAGCCAGGCTGCAAGAGAGATTCATGGCAGAACGGTAGTACATCTCCTGTGCTTAACTAAAGACTACCTTTGCCAATCCTGTGTGCAAATGAAGAATGATATTTTTGCCGTATTCTTTTACGATGAATCTGTGTCCCCAATTATCTTTCCCTTCTTGTGCTGATCCCGCTTGTTTTTTGTGATGTGCAATCTTCAGAGACTTGGGACACAACCGTTTGAACGGACGCGTGCCAAGCAGTTTATCAAGTACTTCCCTCGGCAGTCTGTATGTGTCCAAGGCATTCCAGCAAAACCTTTCTTCCTCTTCGCGTGCGGCTGGGATTCTAAGTCATTTGATGCCTATTTAAATTCTCTCGCTGTGCTTCTGCGTTTCTGCAACAGATCCCTTCAAGAAAATAACCTATCAGGGTCGCTGCCTGATTTTTCTAAGTGGAACACTTCTTTATTATACCTGTAAGTCACACCCAAGAGCATAACATACTTGGTAGCCTTGGGGGCAAATTCATAAACGTATAAAAACTACCACATAAATCGAACTTTTCCCATACTTCTCGTTTTTTCTAATTCCCGTGAGGTTTTGTTTGTTCCCCCCTTGTTGCAGAGGGCTAGGAAGCAACAATTTGACTGGGTCCATTCCAGGGTCAATCAGCACACTGTCTTCTCTTATGAACCTGTGAGCGTCTTTCTTTTGCAGTGTTTTTTCACTTGTTCCGGAAGCATCTAATGTCGCAGACATGTGCAAATCTGCATTCCAGCCGTTAAGAGCGCCTTCCTTTTGTTTTCCACAACTGGAAATGCTGCCGTTAAGAGTGATTCAAGTCAGCGGATGTCTTTTAACACGTGTACAAGGCAACAAAGGATGGGTGTTGTTCCGAAATGTACTGAAAGAAATTAAAAGACCGTTCAACATGTGACCCCATCGTCCTGACATGGCTAGAGCTTGCTAGCATGCTGTATGAAACCTTCTGGACATGAACTCGCCGTGAAAATTGCTTGCCCTCTTGTGTTGCAAGCGCGGCAGCAACCAATACCATAACCTGTGCGTCTTATTTCCTATCACATGCCCACACCCACGCATCCACCATCCCTGCAGATCGTTGCGCAAGAACCAGCTTTCAGGAACCATCCCTACAGCTCTGGTCACGTTAAACAGCCTTGCTGTCCTGTAATCACTCTTTCCCACACACCACCTCTGTGCCATGTGCCACCGCTACCCTCTTGCTCGTTCTCTCCACACCTTCATGGTTTGCTCCATCCAGGTGCGGCCCACTCCCTGGCATTCGTTCACGTGTATTTGAGTCAGCTCGAAATGCACCGCGTCCCACCCCTAGGCACCTATTCATCTCACGTACGACTCTTTGATCATCTCGAATGCAAGAATGGAAAGCCATTCTGGTTATTCGTGTGATCAAAAGCAGGAAAGCGGGCAACATTAGGGCCAGCCAGTGGCATGACTGAGGGGGGAAGGAAGGTGATGCCATAATACGAGAGCAACAGAGCGGCCCAGGAATGAATGAGAGTTGGGAGCGAAGTAGGAATCCAGGACTTAATGGGTGACTCGTGGCTGGAGCCTGGAAGTACAAGCACCATATGTCCTGGTATGGCCAAATCCGAGCTCGAGTCACCCATAGTCAAGGTACCCGTGACGAGGGCTTGGAAAGCGTGTGTTCCCCCTAGTGGAAGGGCAGCACCTTCCGAGTCGGGAAAGGGATTGATTGAAGCACCAACTTCGAATCGCTGGGTGCCTTCCCCCAATTTAAGCACCTACGCCAGCCACCCTACCTCTTGATACAGCACAGCACAACCCCGGAGTTGTACAGTAGCTAGCCATATGGGAAACGGTTTCTTCTCTTCATACAACCCCATACCTCTCAAAACATATGTCCGCACCGCAAACTTTGGGAAACGGGTTCTTCTCCAAATAAATAGCAAAAGTGCCAAGTGCTACGCATCCCTCATCCATCCACCCCCACCAGAGACCTCGCCTCCAACAGCATCTCAGGGCCCTTGCCCTCTGCCTTTGGCGCGCTCTCCAACCTTATCGGACTGTATGTGTTTTATGTGACATGCCATGCCACCATGCATGCTTCTATGGCTTCCCAGTGTAGCCCGAGCAAATCTACACCAGCTTCAGTTATCGATGCAAACCTTTTTCTTCAGTGCTGGACAATGGCACACTGCTGAAGTGAATGGCATTTGAAACACGACACGATACTGCACTTGCTCTTCCCCCACTTGAGAGCTCTCATGACTTGCTGTTGGTTGGGTGCTGGCAGGTCTGTGTATGACAACCAGCTCACGGGCAAGCTCCCTTCTTCCATATGCGATCTCACCCGGCTAATAATCATGTACTACTCTCTTCTGACCATGGCTCTTCTGAAAATTCATGCTAACAGAAGTATCACTTTTGCCGTCAGCACTGCTTCCGCATGTCAGAACATATTTGCCTTGTTCTGTCGGAAACACAGGGACCCGCTGATGCCCGTTCTAAATGCCCTTTCTTCTTGGCCTCACGCTCACTTCAGGTATATCCGCAACAACTACTTCTATGGGGAATTTCCTTCGTGTCTTTACGAGCATTGCCTGCACAGGATGTGAGTGAATCTGGGTGCCTCGCCGGAGCAACCCTAGCCTTTATATAACCATGGCAGAAACAAAGGCCTTGATCAAGGGTCTGCCTGTGAGGAATTGGAATTTTTGTCACAGCATGTCTACAAAGGCATTTCATTCCGACGCAGGGTACCTTAAAACCAGGCAAAACTCCCAAGCACCAGGGAAATGAGGCCCAGAACCAGATTGCACACCAGATTACCGCACATGACACCAGGGAAATGAGGCCCAGAAAGTCTGTCCTCCCTTCCGTTCCTTCTCGTGCTCCCCTCCAGTGACATCAGCAACAACAGCTTCTACGGGCCCATCAACAGCAACTTCCACGGCATGATTCCCAACGATGGCGCTCTGCTCAACATCGCAGGCAACTACTTCTACGGTGACCCCATGCTCTATGCCGATGGCTGCCAGTTCTGCCCCTCGGGAAGCATCGAGCCCGATGCCCTTGACATTGTCGAGCTCGGGATGGATAGGAGGGGGCGTTGTGGCGAACGTCCTTTCCAAGCTCTCCCAGGGGCCAACAAGCGGGGCGTGGCAAGTCTGCGTTTTAACTGCTTCACGCTGAGCGCGCAGCTGGAGTGCACGGCGAACGAGACGCAGCGCAGCAACGACACGTGCCTGGCATTCTGCAGCATGTCACGGGAGCTGGGGCCGTGCGACGGGCACGGAGCGTGTGTGCCACAGCAGGCGGGGGCAGCAGGGGCGGGGTTCACGTGTGAGTGTGACGACGGATACGTCACTGCCAATGGCTCCCTCGGCTCCACCTGCGCCCGCCCTTCTCCGCCCCCCTCGGCAGGTATGCTGTGTGGATGATTGAAGTAGGCGAGATCAAAGAGTGTGGGTTGCAAGACAAGGTGGCATATGAGTCTTGGTAAATGCATGTAAATGGGAAATTTTGACAAGCATAGCATCTAGCCAATTGGCACTCTGATCAATATTCATTATTTTTATTACTACCTCTGGGCTGGCCAGTAACAAGTCTGTGGTTAGTATCAAACCAAACACTGTGTATGGAGAAAACCGACCGTGTGAGCATTAGATGCATGTTTTTTTTTTGGGGGGGGGTTGCGGAGCAACCTATTGCGATCGATTTTGCCGAATTTTTTTTCACGCGGATTTTGGGAATTAGAAACACTACCTAAAAAATCGAACCATATTTTTGGACTTCCTCCTCATGTAATTAGTAAATCACATTTCTGTTGTAATATAAATGCAATGATTTGCGATCTTTGAAAGATAGCTTGCTGATTGTTGATACTTCCAACCAAAATTCTACTGTCGGATTTCGGCAAATTTCGTGTTTGATTGCATCGCGCCATTAGCAACCGATCCAATCGAATCGTGCTCAATTTTTTTTACATGTCATGGTCCATGACATGAATCTACAATAAAAATTATGATTATTATGCGACACTGTAGAAAACCCAAACTCTAGGCTACCGCTTCCCCAGCACTAGCATGGGGGGGAAATCAGCAAGCCTAGTGTTTGAGTGATCAACAATATTATGAAACAACAGTCTTTGAAGTCCAAAAAGAGAACCCTACCCATCAAATCCAGTTCAAGAGACTACACTCAAGGAGCGCACCTATGAATCATTTACGATATGATAGGCAAGGTTTCTCGTTTTGAAAAACGCAGGCATGCATTGCCAATCAATGAGAATGGAGAATGATGGGATGGAACGGTATGTGAAAATAACATGACTGCACACACGGAACAGAAGTCAGAATAATTGAAAACGATAAAACAAAATATTATGCAATCAGAAAAAGGCAGAACAAGCACATTGCAATTTCAACATCTAGAAGGGTGGTTCAAGTTGGGACCCTGCATTCATATTAAAAGAGCCAATGAAATAACATAATTAAAGAACGTGGATAAAAGAATTGGAAATAGAAAGAACGAGCACGAACGAAACAAATAGAGAGTAGGGAGAAAGAGGAAGTCGACATACATAACGGGTTCCCGTAAGACGGATTAGGCGCAAAGCTAGAAGGGAATGAAATGATCAGAGAAAAGAAGGATTGAAAACGACGGAAGGGAAGGGAATGAAGGCGTGAGATGGAATCAAAAGTAGGCATGGAATCGAAAAGAGTGTAGAAGAGAGTAGAAGAGAGTAGAAGAGAGTAGAAGAGAGTGACATGGCGGAAGGGTAGAATTCGTACCTTGAATCAAACTGAAAATTTATAACCCGTGGTTCCTTAACAAGCTAGAGCACATAGAGAGATAAGATATTAGAAAACAGGAAAACATGAAGGAGTATAAGAAGAGAGAGAACTCGGGAAAGGAATGAGGGAAAGGCTAGTATGACAAGAAAACTAGGAGGTTGACGACGCGATGAGAGAGAAACGAATATGCTGCTTAATTAGGGGATGGACTTGGCTAGAACGCTAGAATTTAACTGCTGGAGTTGAGGGGCAAGACGTGAGATTGAGGAATCGAGGAAGAAGAATACGAGAGATTGAGAGGAGGAGGTGGAAGAAAGGTTGGAGAAAGCGGATGGAACGACCAGGTTCTCGCAGATCTGAAGTTCCATCTATTTCTTGTTTCCATCCGAAACTGCCCAGCCGGAATGAAATTCGTCAATCAGTTCCCTAACATTCTAGGGAGTGTTCCATTCTTTATATATTGCCCACGTTGCATGGAGTAATACGATACCACAAGTTTGATAATCAATTTGTTTCACAAATTGCCATCTCGACAACCAACAAAGCGGTAGAAAACCGACGTCAATGGTACATTAGAGCGAGCCCCCGATGAAGTCATTCGCGTCGCTGAACATGATAAGCGCGATTTGACGGGAAAAAAAAATAGCCGAACTGTGGCGCGGGTGGCAATGCAATTTCGACGCCACTGGACGGATACAGTATTTTCCGTCAGCGAATGGCGTGCGTGACGAGCCTCGCCACTGGTGCAAAAAACAAAACCTGGCAGGTGCCAAATTTCGCCACTGGGAAGGCAAAACAAATCGAGGAGAGATGCGGCTAGTAGCGAGAGTGACGAAACCGAAAACGAAAACGGAAACGAAATTAAAATGAAACGAGAATGAAGGAAGAACTGTAGCGCAACGAAAAAAGAAACAATACAGCTGGGGACGGAAATATATAAGAAAAGTGTCATAAGAATCCAAAAGCAGGGAAATCGAAAAACCAGCACTTGGAAGTGGGCGAATTCAAATACATATTTATGAGTATATACACATGAAATCACAGAAAATGCTTATACACTTTCAAATGATATATCATCTAAAGTATTAACATTGTTTGATTAAATTAATTACAAGATCATTTATAAATATTATATTATAAAATTAAGTAATTTATGGCAAAAAATTACCATGATAAAATCAATTACTTGAACGGAAATAATTTATCATAACACTACAGAGCTCCGCAAACCTAAGACGATTTCGTCGTCTCTTGTTTTTTTTTTTTTTTTTTTTTTTTTTTTCCTCCAGTCGACTATGGTGACAACGTGCTCATGGTCAAACATTGGACCTTGCCGACTGACCAAGTTGACAGGCTAGGCTGGTGCCTAACCTCTTAATTTGTTTAGGGAGTTAAAACACCTCAAACAAGTGTATAATCTAGAAGAACTCAGGAGCTGTTGAATGTGAACACCAAGTCCGTGGTTCAAGCCTTGGTGGTGACAGACCACCTTTCTTTTCCTCTTCGCCCTTCTCCAACTTGACGCCCATGTCTGCCTCCCCTCTAACCCTCTCCCGTAATTCTCTCCCCCCCCTCTCCCCTTCTCCCATCCTCCCTCAGCACTCTCCACAGGCGCAGTGGTGGGCATCGCTGTGGGTTCTACTGCCGCCTTTGCTCTCCTCCTCGCTCTCATTGTGGCGCTGCTCTGGCCCAGACAACGCAGTAAGTACCCCCAACCTCCACTCCTGCATCTGTATAACTCTCGAATCCACACTTGATGAAATGAAAAGCAGCTAGCACAGGTGAAACGGGGTGGCCTCTATTGTGCTCATTCTGCTGCCTCCATGCTGTGCATCAGGGAAGTGGAGCGACCTGGACGTGTGCCACGAGTTCAGCATGGGGGAAATTCTGCGGGCAACACGCCACTGGTCGAGTGATAGTGTGCTTGGGAAGGGCGGCTTTGCCACGGTGTACAAGGGGGTGTCGGAGAAAGGCGAGCTGTGGGCTGTGAAGCGCAATGAGCTCATGTCGAACGACTTCGAAAAGGAGGTCAGAGGAACGCCTAGGGAGAAAACATTTTTTGTCATCAAAGGCCATGGGCTCAGCTGACTATGGACTCAAGTGTGTGACTTGCGGGGTGTGCCATTTTTAAGTCGAAACTCATTTGTGACTTCAAGTATGTGAGCTTATACCACTAGTCTTCTTATACTGCCACTCTGTTAACCCCCCTCCTCCCTCACTGTCAGGTGCGGGCGATGGCGTCGCTGCGGCATGAGAATGTGGTGCGGCTGTTGGGCTTCTGCCTGCATCAGAACGTGGAGAGCGGCCAGCAGGAGCAGATCCTCGTGTACGAGTTCGTGGGCAACGGGGACCTCAAGCACCAAATCCACCAGTCTAAAGGTATGTTCTTTCCTTGGCCTATCAGCTTGGTCAAAAGTTGACAGCGGGGACCTCAAGCACCACATCCACAACTCCAAGAGTGTGGTCTTGTATACCCTCCAACCACCCCTGTGTTGTGTTGTATGATGTCATCACTTGCTCTCACATTCTATCCACATTTCATGCCATGCTCTTTCCTTCAAATGCATGGTTTGAATGTAGAAACAGGTTCTGTGTGGGGTGTTTTGGAATTTGTAGCTTTGGAGTAGGCTTGGGCAAATTACCCATGCGGGTCGGGTACCTGTACCCATACCCAACTTTTGGCCGGGTCGGGTAGTAAGGATTCGACTTACTACCCAGCCGGGTCGGGTCGGGTAACCCAACCGGGTAACCGACACCTGGTACTAGGCTTGAGCATGAACCCGACCCGACCCGACTTTGCCCTACCCGATGCCGGGTTCGGGTCAATTCGGGTTGGGTCAAGTCGGGTCGGAGCACGGGAAATGTCAACCCGACCCGGGTTTAATAGGTCGGGTACTACCTGACCCGATTTCGGGTCGGGTCGGGTCGGGTTGGCATAGGGGCAGGGACGGGTAATAAGCCGACCCGACGGGTCGGGTTTTGTCGGTCGGGTCGGGTCGGGTTGACCCTCCGCAAATGTCGACCCGACCTGTCAAAAAGTCGGGTTCGGGTCGGGTTACCCGACCCGACCCGACCCGTTGCTCAAGCCTACCTGGTACCCGTTTTCCTACCCAACCCGGCGGGTAATTTGTACCCGCCGGGTCGGGTATACCCGACCCGAATAGGCTATTGTTAACACCCCTAAAGCACATTATGGGCCTCATTACGGCCCATTACTGTGGGCGGGTAGTAATACCCGTTTTTTACCACAACTAGGGTACGGATACCCGACCCGCGGGGCGGGTACCTTATTACCCGCCCACTATACCCCGGGTCGGGTAATGGTTGTGGGCGAGTTACCCGACTACTACCTGACATGACATTACCCAACCCGAAGCCGGGTAAGGCAAAATCGGGTACGGGTGGGTAATTACCCACTTTTGCCCAACCCTAATCGGGAGCATACTTGAGCAAGTATCTGCTCCAACATGTTGATGCATATTCTGTGTTATTAGCAAGCTGGCTGCCTTGCCACTCGCCCTTTGCCTTAGTTCCTTGTATTGTTCTCTGATCCGTAATTCTGAGCCTATTTTGTGCCTCATTCGCATTTTTTAAACACAATGTTCTGTTCTGGTGCTCAGGATAGCTTCTCGTATCCTCCTCTGTCAGAGCATAATGCACACAAGCAGGTGAAGGCAAACGCGTAGGGGATGCTGAGTTGTTCGTTAAGGTACACATTTTTTTTAGGCAACTAAACCGGTGTTTGGAGAAGAAATCAACTAGGCTGGCATAGTGGGGCTGGTTGGCGGACAACCAACCTTGCTTGGTTGGCACCACATTGTTCAAGGTGGTTGGATTGGACCTACCCAGTCCACAAAGGCTAGGTGAATGACAGTATCTACTGAATGTACACCCAAAAAACTAGAGGTATCAGGATATATTCTAAGAAAACTCGTTGCAGGCAGAAAGTTTTAGTGACTGGTTGAGGAGCAACACCTGAATGAAGTGAGGGTTTTGGAGAGAGAGGGAGTAGAGTGTGGAAGTCACGACGTGGGAAGGACGTGGGACGACGTGGTTGGACCAAACCAGCTTGGGATCTTGGGCGTACTTCATTGACCCCATCTGTGTGTGTACACGAAAAACTCTAGAACAGAAGGATCAATTCCAGCAAAACCCATCTCACTGGAGTCGTTACGAGCTGACATTGCAGGAAATGCGTGTGCTTTCTAAGCAAAGGAATTTGTGAACTGATAAGTGCATGTGAAACCTTCGTGTGTGTGTGTGTTGGTGTGTGTGTGTCGTTGTGCCTTTGGTGGTGCTTGTGTTCACACAGGCCAAGATAGCGGACTTTGGGTTGCTGAAGCAGCTGAGCCAAGCAGGGGAGGAGGATGACCGCACTCGAATAGCCGGGACTCCGGGCTACGTGGACCCGGATTACAACCGCTCCCATGTGGTGACGGAAAAGAGCGACGTGTACAGGTGCGTACATAAATGCCTCCAGAGGTGTATAACATTTGCATCGAGCAGCACACAAGCACACTCCCACCTGCATTCTCCACATCAGCATTGATAAAGTAAAGCTCGCAGCACTCCTGCCTGTAGGCAATGATCTGTTGTGAAAGGAGTTCGCAAGGTACTTCTGCCACGGCACATCTGTGAGTGCACTGCCACCAAAATTCTGCCATCTCCGCCTCCCTTACATCAGTCACAACGCTGCATTCCTTTTCTGGCATCTTCGACGTTCAGGAGGGCTAAGTCGTTGTTGTGGTTGGACTCATTTACCTCTTCTCCTCCCTTACCCCCTCCTCCACCATGTGAGCAGCTTTGGCGTGGTGCTGTTGGAGCTCTTGACTGGGCAGAAGACACATGTTAAAGGAACCGACCGACATATTTGTGAATGGGTGAGTTCACGGGAGCACTTGTGAATTGAGCCTAGTCTACGAGAGTGCATGAAGCCATGCTCCCCTTCCATTCTCTCTGAAACCCCTAGTCCCGCACGCCTCTCTTCTCGCATCACATCACATGTTCTTCTCACTCAACAACACACCCCCTTCCACTGTCCAATTTCGGCTCTCCCCCCTCCTGCAGGCAGCCAAGAAGGTGCAGGCGTACGATTTTGGGTTGCTCAAGGACACGGCTCTGGATGCCCCGGAGGATGCAGTGGTGGAGTTTGCCGACATCGCGCTCGACTGTGTCAAGGTGCCCGGCTCCCGCCGCCCCCTCATGAAGGACGTCGCGCGCCGCCTGCAGGCGCTCCTCACCAAGTACTGCGATGATGATGATTAATTCTTAAATGTTGAACCGAGCGTGCTCACAGAGGAAAGCATGGAGGACAGGTTGAGGGGTGGTGTCAGTGGTAGTGGGGATACCTTCGGACAGAGCGAGCTGTCAGAGGAACGAAGTGGAGGGCCGGCTGCTGGGTTTCTGACTCAGGTTTTCTCCAAGAAGTGGCGCGTGTGATGGTGAGCACAAAATTATTGGCATGGTTTGAAAGAGCCGACTTTCCAGAGGCAGTTATTATCTCCGCTGTACGAAGAAGCTGTTACCGTATGCAGCTTCTATAGTGTATCGCAATTCTGCACCAAGACCATTTGCTTCAGTTTTGGCTGCGGCATTGTCTAGGAAATCAGATTGCTGTGGCCCCAAGAATTACCTAGCAGACGCTTCAAGATCTCTTGACTGGTTTCTCGGACCCTTTAGATTCCCTCCCTCCCACGTAGTGCAACACTTGCATTTCAAGATAGGTGTCGACTTTTTTGCCGCCGCGAACCCTCGTACGGGAGACGGTATTTCGTATCAGTGCAACACGCTGAAGGCCGTTTTGATATTTCAGGGTTTGATGCCCGACCTCGATGTGGAGCATGTCGAGGGCACGTCCAAGCCCGCTGCCAGCATGCGGGAGTCACCCGTCGACGCATCAACGAAGCGGAAGGCGTCCGCTCACTGGACGCAGCGTCCTCTGCCCTGGGCACCGCCACCGAAAAAGCCTGCCCCCGCGCCAACTCCACCCCCTCCAACTCCTAGCCCACCAGAGAACCCCTCGTCCCCCGCTGATGCTGAGTACGCTATAATCAAGCGTCGTTTTGTCGGCAACTGGTCTCGCCGATTTCCTTGGCCGCGATTGACACAGATGAAAAATGGTCGTCCTTTATTGAAGTGTGTTGTGTGCTTGCAGTTTGGCGATGCGTTTAGCAACACCAACTATGGGAAGAAGGGCGAGGGTGCATCCACATCCATGTCGGCACGCGGGCGCACAAAAATGCACTGAAAGCCAAGGAGGAGTGGGAGAGAGAGAAGGAGCAGCAGCGCACGCTTGGCAGGTGGCGCACGAGCGACTCTTCAACAAAGCATCTCATACGCTGCTTCCATATTGCCATCTTCGTCTGTAAGGCTGACGCTCCCATCGCCATGTACGTCGCCCTATGCTACTTCCTTGCGTTGGAAGGTTTGCCTGACCTGCCGCAGGGAGGGGCGTACGGGACGTACTACACTGAGTAAGTCTCAAAGCTCTTTATATTTCCTGCACAATGTTTGTTTGCACATGGCACGATCCGTTGATTGTTTTGTTGTAACTCTATTCTAACTTCTGTCGCTTATGTGCATTATGCTCCAGCACTACAGATACGGCTTCAAACAGGGAACTAAGGCCATATCGAACTACCTGAGAGACGAGCAGCTTCAGCACCTTCTCTCTTCCCCCTACATCGGCATTGCGATTGATGAGAGCACGGATCGCGTCCATGGCAAACACATGATTCTGTACGCCACCTTCTTCCGCGGCAGTCACGTCGTTACTGAGTTCGTCGCACTGCTGTCGGTGGAGAGGACCAATGCCGCATCGCTGACCGCCGTCCTGTTGCAATTTCTCTCGCCGATCGGCCTCGACCTGCAGAGGATTGTTGGCATGTCGACCGATGGGGCTTCTGTGATGACGGGCGCCACATCCGGGGTCATCACTAGGCTGGAAAGGCGCATCCTACATCTCGTCGCGACTCATTGCATCGCGCATAGGTTCGTTGGGCCCCTAACTTGATCTGTGTGTTTCAACAATCGCATAACATGTTTCCTTGTGCCTTGCATCCCCCCCTCCCCCCTCCCCCTCCCCCCATCACCCCCTCCCTTACCACCCGTTTCAGAGATGCCTTGGCTGCTAAGGACGCTGCGGCTGCCGTTCCAGAACTCAACGTCATCGACATCCTCATCCGTGCTTTCGCCGACCTCGTCGGGCGGTCGAACGTCCAGCATAGCAACTTTAATAACTTTCAGCTAGTCTACCGCAACACCAACCTCGAGGCGCAAGGCATCTATGCCATTCGCTGGTTGTCTCCCGGGGAAGCAGTGGTGCGCTTCGTGGAGGTCCTCCCCGCTGATGTGGTCCTGCTGCGAGGTCATCCTGGCGGGCTGTATGAGGTAGTTACGTCGTTCAAAGTACAGTACATGCTATACTTTTTGGCGGACATCCTTGAAGAACTAAACCACCTAAACACCCGATTCCAGCAACGACAGATATTGGGCGCTTTTCCTTGTTGGCCTCCCATCTGCCTTTCAATCGCTGAATGCAACGTGCATGAGTCTTTCATGCAAAGCTTGTGTCAAAGCAGCTCTGCATGACAAAGTTTATTTGCGTCTTCTTTTTACAATTCCTTCCCTCTGCTTGTGCCACTTGTACTACCGAACCCCACTCGCAGGTTGACATGACGGTCGTTTCGTCTCTTGTGGACAACACCTGCAACCACATTACCGACCGATACATCAAGTGCGGAGGGGGAGTGTACTTCGGCAACGGTGGCAGCGTCAGGCTCGGGGAGTTCCTCCAGGCGCATGGGTCGCCCAACAACAGGCGGGTGCGCGTCCAAGGTGTAGACAACGAGGGCAACACGCAGTCGTTCGAGTACGTGCTGCATGAGCGCATGGTGGTCGGGCACACCTCCGAGAGCAACCTCGACTCATGCGCTATCATCTGCCGGAAGTTCGCGGTCGAGCTCGTGGGGAGTGTACGTGGCCGATTGAGAAGTCTTAGTGACATGGAGGGGTGCAAGCTCTACAAGGCGAAGACGTACCCGTTGGACAACGAGTTGCGCCTGGCGCGGTGCAAGCAGTGGTTGAAGCACAACCACGGCCTCTTTGGAGGCAAGCTGGTTGGTGAGAGAAGTCATGGTAACTCTGCTTATACTCCATGTTTGCAGGTTCATACATACATACATACGATGTGGTTGCATGCTCCTCTGTCCGTTGTTCACCAACCCTTTCACTGTGATCCCTTGTCCCTCCCGCTGTGATCCCTTGTCCAGGCTTCGACTATAACAAAGCCGTCCAAGAGCTGCGGGTCTTCACTGCGACGATGATGTCGCAGTACAAGGACGACGGATTCCACCAGGGGCTCGCCTTGACGCTGGACAACAACGAGTGGCAGAGATCATACCCCAACATCCTCCGCTCCTGGCAGGCACTCGCTGTCCTTCCCCTCAGCACGGTCGAGTGCGAGCGGGGGTTCTCGAAGCAAAACCTCATCAAGAGTTAGGAGCGTGGGTGCCTTGGAGATGACACCCTGGGGGACCTGATGTGGTGCTCCCTCCTGCAATACAACATCGAGTGGTTCGATGTGGTTCCTGTCTTCCGCGGCGAGAAGCCACGCCGTCCCCTTCGAGATCTGAACTCGGCCAACCCCACCTCTGTCGAAGATGGAGGGGCCTCTACCAGTGAGCCCACTCCATTGGTGGAGCCGAGAGGATGACTGACTCTGTAGGCTTTGTGGTATGCGCATAGTAGAGAGATGAGTAGAGTAGAGTAGGTGTGGTGCTGGTGGTGGTGGTGCATAGCAGTAGCAATGGCCTTTGTGGGCTGTAGGCTCTGTAGGGACAAGTCTCACAGGATGGGCATGTGCTGATTCCTAACGATTCATGAAGTGCGAAGGCAATTTTTAGTGAAAGGAAGACGGGTATTTTGAAATGTACTCTGAGAGTGCAGTCTAAGATTTTTTTTACCCTGCTATTTCAGACTTGGACTTTTTTTCACCCTAGCATGCAGGGTAAAATGTCTCAAGCACTCTGATTCGTAAGAGTGGGCCAAAACCAGTTTAGAGGCCTGCGAGCGTCGATTAGGATTCAGGAAAAAATGGTAGTAAGATTTACCGTAGTCCCCTGCATAGGGCTCCCTATGGTGTAATTATAAATACCCCTCTTTTGGTGGGTGCTATTTTTACACCAAAAAAAATTACACCCATTGGGTGTTATGAAATGGTTTTTACAGATCTTGAAAACGAGTGCAGATCAGTAATTAATCACGCAATTGATATGTCTCTGTTCTGGCTCCGAAACGAGTACAATCATAGCACCGTGATTTGCGGGCTATTTTCTGCAGCTTTATTGGTCCTGGGAAATAGCAGGCTACGTTTTTCGCACGCGCTGGCAGCTCTTGACTGTATTTGGCTAGATTCATATTAGTTGCCCTAGATTGCGCTAGGATTCGTGCGCGATGTTGGGTGATCCAAGTGCAAATGTTTATGGTTCTACACTGTCGACTTGAAAAATGTGGGGGGTGTTTAGTACCCCGTGTAGTGCAAACACGGGGTGTTTAGTTGCCTTCTCATTACCCCGTGGCATGGGGACATCCAGTGGTGCTCACCATGCCAACGACAATACCTTGCCTACTGCAGAGCAATACGTGCACGTGATGTCGGAAGTGGAAGTGCTACCAGGCACATCGGTGGCATCAAACGCGGCGGAGGACGTTCGCACTGCTTGGCGTCCCGACAGTTCGACCCCTGCTGCACCCGAGAGGAGTCCCGACCATGCGCGCTCGCACACTGGACAGCACGATCCGCCAGAGCAATGTATAGGTGGAGTTTCTGTTGCTGGAGCGCCCGCAAACACAGGTGCAGCGACGTCTGCCGAGATGCCCATGTCGCTGCATGATCACGCTGCAGAAATGACGCCAACCACTGGGCAGGTCTCTCTGTTGCCGACCAGCAGACAGATGACAACGACAGTCGTGCCTCTTATGGATTTGGAGCGGCTGCAGTACAAGCTCTGTGAGGCTGTGCAGCAGCGAGTTAGCATGCAGGCATAGTTCGACTCTCTGCAGTTGATTCTTCAGCAAGAGCGAGTAGCCAATGTGGAGCAGCGTGCTGACCTTGACAGGCAGCTGGCGCACTACAAGAACCGCGCTGTCAGGGCGGAGCAGCAGGCTTCATCGTTGCATAGCAGGGTGAAAGACATGCATCCGCAGATGCAGCAGCATGTGGTAGATAGTTCGGAGTTGGGTTAGCTGCGAGATGCGCAGCAGAGGCTGCACTTGGAGCTTGCGGCGGTACAAGCAGAGAAGGTGCAGCTACAAGAGAGGGTGCAGGAGGTGCAGAGGAAGGCGCTCGAGGACTAGCAAACTGCAGGAGCAGTGGACGCAGAGGAGCTGTAGGCGAGTGTCGACGGGCTGATCCGGAAGGTGGGAGAGCTGGCAGAGACTCAGGAAACAAGAGTGTCTAAGACTACTACTCTCAACGACAAGCGGTCTGCACTCCTCGATCGCCTGGCAGAGAGGATTGGGAAGCTGGAGATCTGTGCAGGAGTGTCCCAGGAGAAGATGGAGTCAGCTCTATCGAAGATCGTTGAGCAGAAGGACCTGCTTGAAGAACCTAAGGATGAGCAAGCTAAAGTCTTCAACTGCCTGGGAAAACGCTTTGAAACCAACGAGAAAACCACCGAAGCCACTAATGCCAAGCTACTTGAAGTGACGGCGTCACTGGCGTCAGAGCAGCGGCACATGATGAAGGAGAGGCAGCGGCGAGAGGAGGAACACCAGAAGCAGTTGCAGAGCCTAGCCCTCTCCCTAAACCAGACCAAGGCAGCGACAAAGAACTGCATGGATGCTGTGGCGGCGCTGCAAAATGAATGGAGATTGAGCAACGACACACGTCTCGCGCTCCTGTCTGCGGTTCAGGGACAAGCGGATAACACTGCGGCTGCAGTTGAAACCGTCGTGAACGCCTCCAACGAGACCTTCCATGGGAAGTTGGGTGACATGATAGCATCGACAGGGACCGCGGCTCTCTCGCGTGTGGTTGCAAAACGTGTTATTCACAACGTTTTGCTGGAGTCATTTCTGCTAGCGCTGAAGTGTGGGGTTATTAGTGCGGTGAGGTCGGCTGTCTTTGTGTCATGCGTGACTATAGCCGCGCCCGCTACATATAACCGGACTGCAGAGGGTCCAGCGGTAGAGGGGGGGGCTGGAGAGGTGGCCGCAGCACGTGCAGAACCAGCCCCAGTCGGCGCTTCCAAGGCAAATGTGGGTGAGCAATAGCACCTCGACGTCACCTCTCCTGTGTCTCTAAACGTCACAAAAGCACATCGCGTGGTCAACCTTCTCATGCCAGAGAAGGCTGTTGGGATGGAAGAGACAGATGCCACTACTGGCTTTGGCCCCCATCGAGCACGTCTCCAAGAGACACCGGTCCCCGCCGCATACCCGACCAAGGGTCTGGAAGCCCTGCCTGTGTCTGGATCAGCAGTTGAGAAGCCCATCCTCCGGCTCAGGCGAGGCCACAAGACTGCTGCGGCAACTAAGTCGGCTACCTCCGATCGACGTGCAGAAAGCGACTCTCGACCGGCAGCTCCACCGGCGGTGCCAGACTCTACGGCAGAACCAGATTTTTTTGCAGACGAAGAAGTCCCCTTTGCCCAGTTCCGTCAGAGCTTGAGCGCAGCAGAAGAGGATGGGGCGAAGACCAGCGCGGGCAAGAGAAAGTTGGTCGTTAGCGAGTCATTGTCAGAGGATGAAAAGGAGGTGCCTCTTGCTGAACTTTAACCCAAGCGGCAGAAGCTGGCACATGGCGGTAGCAAAAAGAGGCAGGGTAAAATGACAACTGTCTGCACCCGCGAGTCATGCAGGGCTTGATGTTGGATACCACGGACCCCGATGCCCTGGAGAAGCTGCTAGCTCCAGTCGTCGAGGTGGCAAGCGGGGTCGCTCTGTCGTGGTGCGCTTGCAAGTTTGCGGTAGCACACCTTGAGACTCCCCTCAACATCGTGAAGGAGCAGCGCAAGAAGCGGGGCCCGGCTGGTGACGCATCTGCGGGGGCTGAGGAGGAAGAGGAGTAGAGTAGTATGCGTTGTTCTTTCTATTGTTTGTCTTGAAATCTATCCCTAGCACACTTTGTACCATACTTAGCCTCGTAGTATGCAGTGTACGCATTCTGCTAATTAGCTCACCTTCCATGTTCAACCTGTCGTGCTGCAGATATCGTGGCCAAATAGTGTGATAAGTGCAATATACAAATGCCAATAAACGAGTTGCACGCAAACCCCTAAAAAAGACATGCAGCAAACAGTTCCGCCAACTTTGTGTTGTGTATGGCCCTATGAAGCGCCTTTACGAAGTGCCTCTACGAAGAAAACGGTCTTATGTGGCTGTGATCTGTGGCAAATTTCGGTGTAGAAGATGCTTCTGCCAAGGGGCCATTCACAGAAGGCTTGTACTCTGAAAAGATGCACGCAGAATTCGTTTCTGCAGGCGACCCATGGGCAGAAACGACATTCGGCACGCGCTGTATAAAGAGCCCCAGCCAAATTGGCGGGCTGGCCCATATGGAGGACTGCCCCCTTCAAGAGGTCTGCAGAAAGTCAATTCTAAACCCTCTTATGTGGGAGCGATGCAGAAAGAGCTCGCGGAACTCTCCTCTGCGAACGGCCCTTCGGCAGAGGCGCCTTTCTGGCACTAAGGGGCCGTTCAGAAGGTGCGCAAATTTCCTCCCCTGGAGGAATCAAGCCTGCGCATGGAGGGAAGGTTCCGGGGTGGTGAGGGCAGCAGCACGGACATATTTGGGAGGAGCGAGAGGTCTGAGGGAACTAGTGGAGTGTCGTCTGCCTCCAAGAGTCTCATCCATTCGCTATCGGAGAAGTGGCGGATGATTCAATAGGAGATAGAAAATTACTTTCTGTTCAGGGTCTTGTTATCCGTCTTTTAATTGAAGAGGAGGAAGTGCAAGCCATACTGGCAAAGCCAGTGGTGAGTCTTGTGGAGGCGTATGTATGTGCTCCTCCAGAGTGAAGATCATGCATGCACCCTCACCCTCACGCACCGAGCCTACGCATGGAGGTGAGGTTCCAGGGTGGTGAAGGCAGCAGCACGGACACGTTTGGGAGGGAGAGGTCTGAGGGAACTAGTGGGGCGTTGTCTTCCTCCAAGAGCCTCATGCATTCACTGTCGGAGAAGTGACGGATGATTCAGTAGGATACATTAAATTAGTTTCCTTCTCGAGTCTTGTTGTTGGTCCTTCTACTGAACGGATAGAAGGAAGTACAAGCCACTGTGATAGTGATAACTATGAGTCATGTGAGATAAATTGATACTTTTTAGACAACACAGCTACATGCGTTCCCTCCATACTCGCTTACACTAATGTCTCGAGGTAAAAAGACTAGTAAGAGTGATACACTGTAGTTTTGTGCTATGGGGTTGTACTCTCTAAGAGTACGGACCTATCTAGCCTATAAGACATACACAAATATGTTTGACACACCCCCTAGGCTAGATAAGGGGCAGTGCTTGGCAGAAGACGCGCAGCTCAGGGTGGCACTTCTAGTCCAACCTCTGATGCAAGGGTCCGAAGTCCAGTCAGAAGAGTACAAACTAGACAAGAGCAAACCAGGGCGGCACGTCGCTTGTTGTCGCTCCGCCTCCTCTTGTTGTTCGCCTTCTTCATTGTCACTTATTGACTGACTTCCTTCATGCCGCAAGTCCTCTTGTTCCTCGGGTCCTTGCCTCCCTTGTTACCGGCCCGTCTGTTCCTGTCTCGAGTCTTGACGCGCTTGTCGCTGCTGTCGCTGACTTCGCCTCTACCCGCCGCCTTGACTACACCACCGCTCTGGTCTCGGACCCTGTTCGTCCTCCGTCCATCGAGGGTGTTCCTGCCCTTGGAAGTGACGTCCTGGAAGACCGGCAGTACGAGCTCGCTTTCCTGTCCGAGGTCGCGCCACATCTCTGCTCCATGCTTCTAGTCCCTGAGGGGGACCCAGATGCCTTTGACATCCCGACCCCTCGCACCTACGCTGAGGCGACCTCGGGACCCTGGGCCTCCCAGTGGATAGCTGCCATTGACGCATCTTGGAGATCCACCAGCACCTATATCGACGCAGTTCCCCTACATGTGGTGAACGTAGTCGATGACCGGTGGCTCTTCAAGGTGAAGCGTCCTCCTGGAGAGCCACATGTGTTCAAGGCGCGCTACGTTGCTAGAGGCTTAAGTCCGTGCGAGGGTGTTGACTTCTTCCAGATCTTCACCCCGAACCCGAAGATGACTACTCTTCAGGCGCTACCACATGTAGTAGCACAGCGTGACTATGAGCTGCACTCTCTTGACTTCTCGCTAGCCTTTCGCCAGGGCAGTTTGCACGAGCAGGTCTACTTGTGCCGTCCGCCAGGCTTTACCGGCACCTTCGCCCCGGGGACCCAGTGGCTCCTACGGCACCTGGTTTACGGCCTGTGGCAGCCACCGCGAGAGTGGTACGACACGCTATGTGCTACGTTAGCTGACCTGCAGTTCTTCCCGTCGTCTGCAGACCCTTCACTTTTCGTTTGTGCTAGCTAGACCCCGTTCTACACCCTACTCTACGCAGATGACCTGGTCTTAACTACTGCATACAGAGACGCACTCGCCTCTGTGAAGGTCGGGCTGCTTAGGAGACACACCTGCACTGACCTAGGAGACCTGCGCCGCTACCTAGGCCTGCAGATCTCTAAGGACAGAGCAGCGCGCACCATCACTCTCACACAGACACACTTGGTGCGCCAGGACCTTCATAGGTTCGACCTTCAGTTCTCCTCCGTACAGCCCACACCTCTGCCAATAGATCGCAGGCTCTCGGCTCCAGTCCCTGAGGAGTCTGTAAAGCCGAGTGGTCCTTACACAGAGCTGGTGGGTTGCCTCATGTACCTGATGACTTGCACTCGTCCAGATCTCGCATACCCTCTCAGCATCCTGGCTCGCTTTGTGGCCCAGGCAAACACCGACCACAACACTGGTCGGCCACTGAGATGGTTTTGCGTTATCTAGCAAGTACATCAGGCATGGGGCTAGTGCCAGGAGAACGCAGGCCAGTGGTCCTTACAGGGCACACAGGCGCTTCGTGGGCGGACGACGCTGAGACGCTTATGTCCTCCCAGGGCTACTGCTTTAGCCTTGGTGCAAGCGCCATCTTGTGGAGGTCCACCCGCTCGTCGTCTGTTGCCCAGTCGAGCTGTGAGGCCGAGATCTACGCTGGTGCCATGGCGGCATAGGAGCTCCGCTGGCTGACTTTCTTGCTCACAGACTTAGGTGTGCGGCCTAGCTCTGCCCCGGTCCTGTACACTGACAACAGGGCTATGATCCTCCTGTGTCAGGAGCCTAGATTGGAGGGCAGAGCGAAGCACATCCACCTGCGGTACTTGCTCCTGCACGAGTTACAGCAGCGCCGCCATGCTCGCGCAGTTCACTTGGCCTCCAGTGCCAACACAGTTGATATCTTTAATAAAGCGCTTGCACCTAAAGATCATCAGCGGCATTGTTTACAGCTTGGTCTAGTTCCTGTAGCTTCTCACTTGCTAGGACCCTGACTGTATACTCGTCCGTATATTATCTCGACTGGCCTTGTGGCTCTTGTACCAGTGGCTGGACTAGTAGTGCCGCCCTGAGTTACTCTTGTTTAGTTTGTACTCTTGCTGACTGGTCTTCGGACCCTTGCCTCAGAGGTTGGACTAGTACTGCCACCCTGAGCTGTATGTCTCTTGCCAAGCACTGCCCCTCATCTAGCCTAGGGGGTGTGTCAAGCATATTTGTATATGTTACGATAGGCTAGATAGTTGCATGCCTATATAGAGTATAACCCCTTAGGCTATATTCCCTTGGACAGCCTCATTCTAGTCACCTTTTTCACGCTGAGATAATTTGCTGCTCATCGTAACACGAGGATTATGGAGTTGACCTTAGAAATACCATTCTCACTTTCCTTTGTACAAACAGCAGAACTGCACGCGAAATTTGAAAAGTGAGAGCAACGTTGGGATGAAGTAACGCAGTAGCGGGGCCGCACGCAACTCTGTTGCACTGCACCGTGGCAGCGACACCCTCAGCCAATCACAGGCGCGGAATTGACGTGGCAACAGCTTCGAGAGTTTCCAGCAGGATCAATTCCTGGAGCCGAAAGCAATCCCATGATCCATGTTCCATTGTGTTGTCACAGTCCATCCCCCCATCCTTCCGTCATTCCTCAGTCATGCGCACTAGCAGTGTCAGATCTAGCAGATCGAGTTAGTACAGGCTGATCACTTCACTGGACTCAGCCTGATCTATTATTCACCTGCTGCATCCTCGCGCGTTGGCTCTTTCCGCTGCTGGATAGAGCGACCTTTCAAGATCGACGCTGTTGGGAGTTCGTTGTACCGTGCCGAGTATTCTGCTGTGTATTCTGCCGAGCAAATGGCGTTCCTTCGGCCGAATCTGTCGCTGGCGTTTGTCGCCGTCGCACTGCTTGCCTCCGTGACCGGCATCGCTGCGCTCTACGGGCCCTCGTCCGACGTGGCCATTCTCTCGCCCTCCAACTTCAAATCCTCGGTACGACACGTCACTTCTTCGACACCTCCCGCGCGCTGCTCATTCCTCTCCTTATGCGTTTCCCTCTTGCATCTCTTCCCCCCCCCCTTTCGGGCAATCCCCCAATGAAAAACTTCTGAGGCGCCTCAAAACTCCTCTTGCCGCTGACCCTCTCCCATTCCGCAATCCCCTCCCCCCCCCCCCCCCTTTCCCCCCCTCCCCCGCCCGGGCAATTTCCCAGGTGGTCGACTCCGGCGAGGTGGTGCTCGTCGAGTTCTTCGCGCCGTGGTGCGGCCACTGCAAGAATCTCGCGCCCGCGTGGGAGAAAGCCGCTACGGCGCTCAAGGGCATAGTGACGGTGGCGGCGGTGGACTGCGACGCGAACCCGTCGCTCGCGCAGGAGTACGGCGTGCAGGGCTTCCCCACCATCAAGGTGTTCGCGCCGCACCTAAAGGCGCCCGCCGATTACCAGGGCCAGCGCGACGCCAAGGCCATCGTCGACTTCGCGCTCTCGCAGGTGAGGAGAGATGCGATGCGATGCGATGCGAGATGGGAGAGGCGAGAACCGTTATCGGGTCGAGGATGAGAGATGCGACGGCCCCAAGGCCATCGTCGACTTCGCGCTTTCGCAGGTGCGATGCACGATCGTGAGAGGCACGATTGGGAGAGGCGCGGTTGTAGGAGAGACAAAGAAACACGAGGACATAGGAACCGGCGAGGATGTGATATGAGAGATGCGACGAAGCGTGTCTGATCTCTCACCACCTCATCGGAGAAGCCGTGTGAAGTGGCTTGAAGCAGGCTAGCACTGTTCCGATCAGCTCCCTCACCCTCTCTCTGACTATAACTTTCAGCATCCACGCGAAACCACCCCTCCCGTGCTCGCGGTCATCGCCTCGCGCGCCCCTCTGTACCCCCGCTCTTCCCCCCGCCAGGTGAAGTCGCTGGTGAGCGCGAGGCTGGGCGGTAAGATGGGGGGCGGCGGCGGGGGCAGTGGCGGCGGGCGGAAGGGCGATAGCGGGCCGAGCGCGTCGGTGGAGCTGACGGGGGACAACTTCGACGACCTGGTAGTCAACAGCAAGGACCTCTGGCTCGTCGAGTTCTTCGCCCCCTGGTGCGTTCTTTCTTCACCCCCCGGTTCGTGCAAAAAGTGGAGAACCAGAGAAGACCTGACCTGGTTTGCGACTTCGAACAAACAGCGTTCGCGTCATCACGCACATTGATATTTCATACCTTAAAGGCGACGCCGAGGTAGGTGGTAGACTTAGCGCCCTTCAACCCTTTCCTCTTCTCCAACCTCCCCCTTCTGCCTAATCCCTCGCTCCGCTTGCCTCCCCCACTTCCCCCCCCTCTGCCCCTCCCCTCCCCCAGGTGCGGGCACTGCAAGAAGCTGGCGCCCGAGTGGAGCGAAGCCGCGCGCAGCCTCAAGGGGAAGGTGAACCTGGGGCAGGTGGACTGCACGGTGGAGCAGAGCCTGGCGCAGCGGTTTAAGATTCAGGGTTTCCCCACCATCCTCGTGTTCGGCGCGGACAAGGAGAACCCAGTGCCGTACGAGGGCGCGCGCGTGGCCTCCGGCATCGAGTCGTACGCGCTCGAGCTGCTCGAGCAGAACCTGGCGCCACCGGAAGTGCTCGAGATCACTTCGCAGGTGGGTGGGTGGGTAGGGGTAGTGTGTTCCGTTCTGCGCGCTGTGCTCACAGGTGAGGGCATTCTGGGAGTGTGGGGAGGTAGGTGATGAAGGTGGTATTGTGGATGGAAACCCAATGTTAGTTCAACGTCCCCTTCAGTTCACTTCACACCTCTGTTCTCTTATCACCCTGGCTGCTACTCACGCCGCCGCTGCCTCTACTGCCTCTGCTGCCTCTGCCACCTCTGAAAGCCTCTGCTGCCTCTGCTCCTCTCGCCTCTGCCCATTGTTTCTGTTGCTGTTCCCCAGGACGTGCTGTCTGGTTGCACGGACTCCACCATCTGCTTCACCACGCCACACGCTCAGTGCCCACATCGCCTCCATTCTCTGCTCACCCCTCACATCTCACCCCTCACATCTCACCCCTCACATATCACCCCTCACACCTCACCCCACCCCTCACCCGTCACAACTCACTCCTCACATCTGATTTCTCACCTCTTTTTTCTCTGCTATTCACCAGGACGTGCTGTCTGGGTGCACGGACTCCACCATCTGCTTCGTCACCTTCCTGCCGCACATCCTCGACAGCGGCGCCAGCGGCCGCAACAAGTACCTCGACACCATCCTCGCTGTCGCGGACAAGTTTAAGAAGAACTTCTACAAGTGAGTTTCTGTCTCCTCCGTGATGTCAAGCAAGCATCCCCTTCCCTGTGGCAGTCAGCGCCCGTCATTCTCACCAAGGCCCTGTTGTTTGCTATCAGTGTCATGCCGAAATTCTGCAAACTCTCTTTGAGAGCTGTGGGGTGCCTGGTGAAGTTTCGAAGTTGCTAGTCATTCTACCGCTCCATCCCCCTCACCCCGCTCCCTTAGGTGAGCTGTGGGTCCCTCCCGTCTCACCCCTCCTCCTCCCACCCCCCGACCCCCAATCTCACGTGCGTCCGCAGGTATGTGTGGGCAGAGGCGGGCGCACAGCCCGCTCTGGAGAAGGCCCTTGGCGTGGGGGGCTATGGGTACCCGGCCCTCATCGCTCTGAACGCCAAGAAGCGGGTGTTCAGCCCCTTCAAGAGCGCCTTTGAGCAAGAGAACCTCAGGTGAGCTGTACCTATCTTGCGATGAACTTTAACCCCATGGTTTCGTTTCACGCTATCCATCAGCTCCCCGGCAACATATCACTCCAATACTGCCTTGGCTGCAGGGCTCAAAATTGGTTTAGGGGCACCCTTAGTAATCAGTGTACCTAAAAAAATTACCCTGTCTCTTAGGGTAAAATTTTCGTCACGCTTTGAAAATCAGGGTAAATTTGTAAAAAACGATGAGTACCCTGAATGTACAGGGTACTAAAATTATCACCCTGTCCACTGCATAGTAACTTGTAATTTTCCAGCTTTCTTAGCGTGTGTGAGGGACATTATCGGTCCTTTAAAATCACGCAGGAAGTCCGAGGCGAGCTGGAGCACATGTGAGGGCGTGGTACATGGGTTATGCTTTGCGTCGAGACCGCAACCCGGGTTGCGCCACTGGCGAAAAAACCCAACTAAATTCAGTCCAACCCATCTTTCACACGCCGTGCGAGGTTCAACGCCCTCGGTAACCAGACAGGATTGCGCAACCTCGATTAGTTGCGCAACCCACGTACCGGGCGTAACTGTCCCTTCACCAAAATGACGCACGTTGTGTAGTCCGAGGCGCGCTGGAGCAGGTGTGAGAGGCGTGACTGGCCCTTAGCCAAAATCACGCATGCAGTCCGACGCGAGCTGGAGCAGGTATGAGCGGACTGACTGGCCCTTGACAAAATCAAGCATGCAGTCCAACGCGAGCTGGAGCAGGTGTGAGTGGGCTGACTGGCCCTTCGACAAAATCAAAGATGCAGTCCGACACGAGCTGGAGCAGGTGTGAGGGGCCAAAATCACACATGCAGTGCGATGCCAGCTGGACACAGAAACTTGTCGAATATGCGGCGATACCCTGTTTGGTCAGGGTAGAACTAGAAGTACTCTTACTGCAGCAGGGTAAAACCAATCTTACACTTTTTGACTAAGGGTCATGGCAAAAATGCCCTTAGATAATCAGGGTGATCCTGAAAAAGCGGCCGCTGGCAAGCGCAATCAGGGTGAAACACCCTTCAAATTTGTGACCTGCTTGGCTGGTGCTCTTGTTTCACACTGTCCGCCCAATGCTTGCATCTTGTGTACCTAATCTTTTAGAGTTGAGTCCCGTCCTCTGCTTATCTGTCGTTCCTGTTTCCCCCTTCCTGCTCCCTACTGCTCTCTCCTGCTCTCTCCTCTCCTCCCCGTCTTCTATCAGTGAGTTCATCCGCCTGGCTGCACGCGGCGGGCGCGGCATAGAGCCGGTGGAGACCATTCCGGAGGCAGAGAGCAGGGAGGCGTGGGACGGCAAGGATGGACAGGTGGTGGAGGAGGAGGAGTTCAGCCTCGAGGACCTCATGGGTGATGATGACAAGCCGGCTGCTGATGCCGAGCTTTAGCTGCTGGTTTTAATTTGATGCTTAGGCTCAATTGTGATACCTGGATTTGTTTTGCTGATGCATTTGGATTGTGCATGGTGTACTGTATCTGATCTTTCGGGCGTGATGGAAGACCTTGTGGTCAGTTCACTGTAAGGGGCATGATGGTTGAATCGGTAGTAGTACCGTAGGCGCCTGGATGTAAGACCGGTTTTATTGCGGACCCAAAGGGAGTTCTTGGCAGGTAGGTCTTTTCTTAAGGTAATCGACTAACAAGTGTCAAAAGAGCTGTCAAAAGAGCTTACGGTAGGTTAGGAGCTAGGCATAGGAAAATAGCGAGAGGTTTTAGGCTAGGAGAAAATGTCGAGAGAGAAGAGAGAGGGATACAAGAAGGGGGCTGTATCCTCTACAGTAGGATCCAGGATATGCAGTACACCTACCTAGCCTATATAAACATACATAGATGTATATATATATATATATATATATATATATATATATATATATATATGTTGACACACCCCCTAGGCTTGGTAGGCGATATGCAAAGAATAGACCAGGGCAGTACTACTAGCCTGTCCACTGGTTTTTGTAGTAATGCAGGTCAAAACGTACCACGCACACAACACACTAAGCCACACACCCCCTAAGCCTAGCACCCTCATACTCAGCAGTAGTGACGGCTGCTCTAGCATGGTCGACCCCTCGGCGTGCGAGGCGGCGACGTCGGCAGCGAGGGCAGTGGCTGCAACGGCGGCGGCGGTGGAGCTCGCAGCACTCGGCGGCGTGGCCTGACTCCGCGACGGTGGGGAAGGCCCGGGCGAGTCAGCCGTCAGCTGCTGCGATGAAGAGAGGACGCAGGGGAGGGGGTGGGGGGGGGGGGGGGGCTTCTGCAGCGGAGCCAGGGAGCGTGCCGCCCCGTGTGGCGCGCCGGCTGCATGCGGGCGTGCTGGCCAGCACTAAGACCGGGCACTGGCCTCTGCCGTCCGTGCGCTGGCGCGTCGACGCCGCCACGGCAGTACGACGACGCCGTCACGGCAGCACGACATGGCCGTGGCGGCGGCACGGAAAGGAGAAGGCCCGAGCGGAAGGGCCTGCCCTGGTACGGTACCTTGTCAAAAGAGCTTAGGTTAGGAGCTAGGCATAGGAAAGTAGCGAGAGGTTTTAGGCTAGGAGAAAATGTCGAGAGAGAAGAGAGAGATGGACTAGAAGAGAGAGGGATAAAATAGGGGGTTGTACCCTCTACAGTAGGATCCAGTATATGCATTACACCTACCTAGCCTATACACATAATATAAAAAATATATATGTCGACAACAAGACCCTCCCATTTTCGGTGTAGCAGGCTTTAGACCCTCTTCGTATTTTTTTCCTGTGATTTCCGCAGCAAAAGTAATGTACAGCGGGAAGCGAGCAGGAAGGAAATAGTAACGCGAAAGGGGAACCAGAAAACATTATGAAAGATGAGGGTGGATTCCGGAGCGAGTGTCAGTCCCGAGGTCAACCCGAGGCCGAGGGTGTCAAAACATGTATATGTGTGTGTGTGTGTGTGTGTGTGTGTGTGTGTGTGTGTGTGTGTGTGTATGTGTGTGTGTGTGTGTGTGTGTGTGTGTGTGTGTGTATGTGTGTGTGTGTGTATATGTGTGTATGTGTGTGTGTGTGTGTGTGTATGTGTGTGTCTTATAGGCTAGATAGGTGCGTACTCTTAGAAAATACAACCCCTTAGCACAAAAGCACCTTGTATAATTCATTATAATCATTCATTCTCACTTTAACATGGTATCACGCTAGGTTAGGTCTCCACGCCCACCCGCGCTTCCGCCTTAGGCCTAGTCCTAGCCGCCCCTTTGCGCCCCGCTGGCCCCGTCCGCCCCACTAGCCCCTTAGCGCCACGCTGGCCCCTTAGTGCCCTCCTGGCCCCTGAGCGCCCCACCGGCCCCTGAGCGCCCCGTTAGCCCCGTTAGCGGCCTCCTGGCCGCGTGCGCCCCGCTGGCCCCGTCGCGCCCTGCTAGCCCCGTGTGCCCCGCCGGCCCCGTAGGCCCCGTTAGCCCCGATCGCCCCGCTGGCCTCATTCGCGCCCTCCTGGCCCCGTGCGTCCCCCTGGCACCGTTCGCCCCGCTGGCCCCGTTAGCGCCTCAAAGGCCCCGTCGAACCCCTCTAGCCCGTTAGCGCCCCGCTGGCCCCGTCGAGCCCCGCTAGCCCGTTCGCGCCCCGCTGGTCCGATAAGCGCCCTGCTGGCCTTGTCGCGCCCTGCTAGCCCGTTAACGAAACAGATGAGAGGATGCGGACGGGGGAGGTACTCGGGACATGTGAATTCGGTTTCTAGTAGAAGTTCCGAGAAGTGGGCCAGAAAATGGCAGAGTTAACAGTCGGAATCACTGATTGAGTTGCTTCTGGAGGAGGTGACCCAACGAGACAGCAGGGGCAGGGATGGGAGGGTTGCGTACGTGGGAGGGTTGCGTACGTGGGTCAAGTTCAAAGAATCAGATCTGAAAATGATTTTCGTTTAAGTTACGAAAACCTCCCAGAAACGCACGGTCCAGTACCGAACGGGGAAGTACAGTATGTCGTGCAAGTTAGGGTAAAAGATTTGTGCTAAGATTTGAAGTGGAACTCCTCATTAGTATTGAGTTCCTTATGCTTTAGAAAGTACCAAAAAAACGTGTAAGCAATGTTAGAATATCGAGAGAAGATTGAGGAAGGGATTAGAGAAAAGAGAGTACAGGATTGAAGTATTGGGGCTGTTCCCTCTACAGTCTGCACCTAGCTGGTCTATAGCACATATACAAAATATATGTACGCTAACACACCCCTTAGACTGGGTAGGGGCTGAGTCTAGCAAGACACAGCAATCCAGCGCAGTACTACTAGTCTGGCCTCTGGAGTAGAAGACAGACAGCTCAGGGCAGCACTACTAGTCTGGCCACTGAGACAAGAGCAAGAAGGGCAGTCAGCAAGAGTAACAAGACCACCGGTAAAGTCCTGAGGCCGAGCACCCTAGGGCCGAGCACCCTAAGGCCGAGCACCCTAAGGCCGAGCACCCTAAGGCCGAGCACCCTAGGGCCGAGCACCCTAGGGCCGAGCACCCTAGGGCCGAGCACCCTAGGGCCGAGCACCCTAGGGCCGAGCACCCTAGGGCCGAGCACCCTAGGGCCGAGCACCCTAGGGCCGAGCACCCTAGGGCCGAGCACCCTAGGGCCGAGCACCCTAGGGCCGAGCACCCTAGGGCCGAGCACCCTAGGCCGAGCACCCTAAGGCCGAGCACCCTAAGGCCGAGCACCCTAGGGCCGAGCACCCTAGGGCCGAGCACCCTAGGCCGAGCACCCTAAGGCCGAGCACCCTAAGGCCGAGCACCCTAAGGCCGAGCACCCTAGGGCCGGCCCCTAGGGCCGAGCACCCTAGGGCCGAGCACCCTAGGGCCGAGCACCCTAGGGCCGAGCACCCTAGGCCGAGCACCCTAGGGCCGAGCACCCTAGGGCCGAGCCCCTAGGCCGAGCACCCTAGGGCCGAGCACCCTAGGGCCGAGCACCCTAAGGGCCGAGCACCCTAAGGCCGAGCACCCTAAGGCCGAGCACCCTAGGGCCGAGCACCCTAGGGCCGAGCACCCTAGGGCCGAGCACCCTAGGGCCGAGCACCCTAGGGCCGAGCACCCTAGGGCCGAGACCTAGGAGCACCTGGCCGAGCACCCTAGGGCCGAGCACCCTAGGGCCGAGCACCCTAGGGCCGAGCACCCTAGGGCCGAGCACCCTAGGGCCGAGCACCCTAGGGCCGAGCACCCTAGGGCCGAGCACCCTAGGGCCGAGCACCCTAAGGCCGAGCACCCTAGGCCGAGCACCCTAGGGCCGAGCACCCTAGGGCCGAGCACCCTAGGGCCGAGCACCCTAGGGCCGAGCACCCTAGGGCCGAGCACCCTAGGGCCGAGCACCCTAGGGCCGAGCACCCTAGGGCCGAGCACCCTAGGGCCGAGCACCCTAGGCCCAGCACCCTAGGGCCGAGCACCCTAGGGCGGCCCTAGCCACCCTAGGCCGAGCACCCTAGGGCCGAGCACCCTAGGGCCGAGCACCCTAGGCCGAGCACCCTAGGGCCGAGCACCCTAGGGCCGAGCACCCTAGGGCCGAGCACCCTAGGCCGAGCACCCTAAGGCCGAGCACCCTAGGCCGAGCACCCTAGGGCCGAGCACCCTAGGGCCGAGCACCCTAGGCCGAGCACCCTAGGCCGAGCACCCTAGCGCCCCCCACCCCCGACACCCTGGGCCGAGCACCCTAGGGCCGAGCACCCTAGGGCGAGCACCCTAGGCCGAGCACCCTAGGGCCGAGCACCCTAGGGCCGAGCACCCTAGGGCCGAGCACCCTAGGGCCGAGCACCCTAGGCCGAGCACCCTAGGGCCGAGCACCCTAGGGCCGAGCACCCTAGGGCCGAGCACCCTAGGCGGCCCTAGGCCGAGCACCCTAGGGCCGAGCACCCTAGGGCCGAGCACCTAGGGCCGAGCACCCTAGGGCCGAGCACCCTAGGCCAGCACCCTAGGCGGCACAGGGCCGAGCACCCTAGGGCCGAGCACCCTAGGGCCGAGCACCCTAGGGCCGAGCACCCTAGGGCCGAGCACCCTAGGGTCGAGCACCCTAGGGCCGAGCACCCTAGGGCCGAGCACCCTAGGGCCGAGCACCCTAGGGCCGAGCACCCTAGGGCCGAGCACCCTAGGGCCGAGCACCCTAGGGCCGAGCACCCTAGGGCCGAGCACCCTAGGGCCGAGCACCCTAGGGCCGAGCACCCTAAGGCCGAGCACCCTAGGGCCGAGCACCCTAGGGCCGAGCACCCTAGGGCCGAGCACCCTAGGGCCGAGCACCCTAGGGCCGAGCACCCTAGGGGCCGAGCACCCTAGGGCCGAGCACCCTAGGGCCGAGCACCCTAGGGCCGAGCACCCTAGGGCCGAGCACCCTAGGGCCGAGCACCCTAGGGCCGAGCACCCTAGGGCCGAGCACCCTAGGGCCGAGCACCCTTAGGCCGAGCACCCTAGGGCCGAGCACCCTAGGGCCGAGCACCCTAGGGCCGAGCACCCTAGGCCGAGCACCCTAGGCCGAGCACCCTAAGGCCGAGCACCCTAGGGCCGAGCACCCTAGGGCCGAGCACCCTAGGGCCGAGCACCCTAGGGCCGAGCACCCCTAAGGCCGAGCACCCTAAGGCCGAGCACCCTAAGGGCCGAGCACCCTAGGGCCGAGCACCCTAGGGCCGAGCACCCTAGGGCCGAGCACCCTAGGG